ATTCGGATCCTGTCGGCCAACGTGGTGTCTTCATTCAGGACTCGATCGATGGTTTTCCGCACATAGCTGATCTGGGATCGGAGCTGTTCTCGATTCGAGGAAGCTGATTCCAATCGGGTCCGTCTCTCGTCTTGCAAGTCGCGCAACCGTTTTTCAGTGATGGTTTTCAGAGACTCGTCGTCTTGGACCTGACTGAGTTTTATTTTATCGAAAGCGATGTGCTCATCATTTTCGTTCAGTTTCCCCATATTGTTCACGAGTTCTCCACGAACATTTCGCAATGCCCTGTCTAGCCCTCGCAGTTCTCGAACAGGAAAATTGAAACCCGGCAAAGGCTCGTTCAAGTACGTGTCTAACAGTTTTTTTATGCTGCCCGACATTTCTTTGGCGTCTCTGGCATTGCTGAGCTTCCTGATGTTTTGTAGATCACGAACTACTTTGGGTGGAAGTTGTTTGGGTCATGCACCGCCATAATCTTGCATGTTTAATTCATCGCGGATCAGTTGCCCACCATGACAACTGGCTAGCGTAGACAAGGCAAGCGGTTTTCTCGTGTGTTTGCTCATGAGATCGATCTCTGGATGAGCTTTCAATCGCAGCTTCACTTCGTTACCAATTTTGAACTTGGAATAGTCTCGTCCCAACGGTTCGACGTAATTATTATCTCGCCTCAGTGTGTTGTAATATTCGTCTACGGTCTGCTTTAAAAGTTCATTGCTAACGGTGTCGCCCATGAATGAGGTGTCTTCATCATAATCCCCATCATCGAGCGCACCAGCACCCAAACTTGCTGTATATGTATATAACAATGTCATACGGAAGAAAGTTAGATCCTTTCCGAAGATAAAGAGAGCCTCTCGGCGTCAAAGCCGTGCGTCAGTCGGTGACCATCACCAATATTCCAAGCAAGATAGATCAAAACCAATCGCTGTTGGTTCGATTCCCCAACCTGGGCGAGAATGATCTTATCATTCCCGGCACGGTTCGACTGGCGTTTAACATCACGTTGACTTCCGACAATGACAAACGCGAGCTCGTGCGGAATATCGGTCATGACATCATCAAGAAAACCATCATCAAAATCAGCGGCAACGAGGTGTTGAGCATCGACGATAGCGACATGTTTTTCTGTTAACGACGTGTATCAAACTCGATTGCGCGTCTGGTATGGCATCTCACAAGACCAGCTCGACAAAATCCCGGCTGACGAAAAAGCCATCGCTGAAGCGTACGGGAACCGTTTTTTCGTGCCGCAACATGCACAATAATATAACGGGATGAACTCTATTTATTGAATACTATTATTTAACCCAAAGAAATATATCCTAGCATTGTGTAATAGTTTTTATGTAAAAAATATATAATCAACACTAAGGTTATACGGACCATCATGAACATGGTAAGCACGTGACATGGAACGAGGCGGTAATCAGTTTGTGATTGTTGAATGGGGTAAAATAAGCAAGCCAGTTTGTTGCTACAATAAATATGATATTTAGAGAAGCAAAATATATTATGCATTTTCTGTCAACTACACTTCGTTTCGATCCGTGAGTAGACACAATATATATGACAGTGAATTCTTTGAATAATGCGATTAGGACCCCATCGCGGGGGATCGACTTACAGTATATGAGGAGGACAGTGACACGGAATTTGATGGGTTTACGGCCGATGACTTGTGAAAATCTCAGAACTCTCTTGCAGAAATGTCAGTGTTTATTGTTAGTGGACTATTTTTCTTATTGTCATATATATATAGATGAAATATGGACACTTAAATAATATATTTTGAAACAAAAGTTGACTTCAGTTTTTATTTACCGATGGTACTTTTTCTCTTGGGTTCACATTTCCATACTCACCGATTTCACAAAATGGCGTCTCGTTGTTGATGCAAGCAGTGATCGTCGGGATATAAAAAGGAACACAAACACATGTTGCCACAATACGCCGGTAATCTTTATTATGTAATATTCTCACCAACACTTACGCTGTATATCCACTTTCCAAATGGCGTCTCGTTGTTGATGCAAGCAGTGATCGTCAAAAAAAAGGTAAACAAACACCGGAAATCTTTATTATGTAATATTCTCGTAATGGTGTCTCGTCGTTGATGGAACATACTTACCGGGTACTCTGGTCTCGGTTGGCCGCGACCCATCGCGGGGGGTCGGCCTATCCATGAGAGATATGATTTTGACACTGATTTTGAGGGTCAAGTTTGGGGGTCGGCTTATCCATGGGGTCGGGTTATAGACGGTCATATACGGTAAGTTACACACGATGGGGATTTCAAAAATCGACATTTAATATAAAACCATATCAACATTATATAACTAACATAAAAACAACATAACCAAGTGACCAGGAAGTGTTGGCTCGCGGTCATAGTCACCAGGAAGTTTTGGGGCGAGCAAAAAATGGTATGCACAATAGCGGAAACAGATAAGGGTCTGGCAAAAGCTTTATTTGATAAATAAAGCTTTACAATTGCTCTTTGTCAGAATTGATCTCATACCCCCCATTGTCTATACTACTGGAGTTGTTGCTCATTGTTTGTCAACAGTGGACTGATTATCAGTGTGTGTTTGTTGGTATCAGGCCTATAACCTGCTTATGACAGGTTATTTAGAAACATGCACAAATGTGCAATATTGTGATGTGTGCCCATCTGCATGCCAATTAACACAATGTTAAACATGCATATACACTATTAATTGTTCAGCACATTGCAATGTCACATGATCAATACTGTTACTTAATTAATAATATATAATTATATATATATGTGTGTTTAACATTGCGTCTTTGAGCAATGTTTATTCCAAGACACAATATCCGTCTGCTTACTTACGACTCTACATGACAATGGTAAATCCAGCTTACCACCCTTTCCTGTCGAAGGTCATGGTCTTCAAGACTGTCACAATCTTCTGTTTGGGATTGATTTCTTCTGGAATGTTCTTGCCACATAAATCACAGACTAACACTGCCAGACATTGTTCCTGTAGTTTCAGCTCAAAACAAACATCCCCTACTTTTTTTTAATAGTATACTTATATAAGGTCATTCTCTTCCCACAGAGGTTACTCCTGTCATATCTTCCTACGTAACCTCTGTTCTAATATGGCCCTTTCATGGTGTGAGCGATCAAGATTCATGATTGGAGGCAATCAGATTTAGTTGTGCAATCAGCGACGTTGTTTCAAAAGTGATCATTCGCAAGGCCTCGGTAATTTCCGTATGCTTCGAGAAAACTAAACCTCTTTCTCTGCGCAATGCGCAAACGTTTCTTCTAAACAGAACTCACTCATGTTATGGCGGATCAGTGGGGTCACCATCGCCCCCGTTGCCAACGGACAAGCTAGCCATTAAACGTCTTGTGTGTAACATCAACACAAGTCCCCACATTTGCTTGTGTTAGTCAAGTTGAATCTAAGTCGATGTAACACGTGTTCTGATTGGATAGAAAGAAGGGAGATAATTCGTGTTGCGATCTTTTGCCTCTAGGGGATTTTACGAGAACCGGGAAATATGGCTGTATTAGAACAGAGGTTCATAGGAAGATATGACAAGTAACCTCTATGGGAAGAGAATGATATAAGGTATGATAATATGAATCTTGTCAAAGTCAAACAGCGGTGTTCTGTGTCTAATAGCCTCATCTTACTGTGTCATACTGACAGCAATGGTTGCATTAACTACTGTGTTTGTTTATATTTTAAGCAGTTGAGCAAAAGTATCCTGGCACTAAAACTTCAATAGAAAAGAAGTTCAAAGTTATTAGTTTGCAAAATTGGTCATTTATGATCTGACCAAAGATTATATGCAGCCCAAGATATGACCAAAGATGATATGCGCCCCAAAATCTGACCAAAGATTATATGCAGCCCAAGATATGACCAAAGATGATATGCAGCCCAAGATTTGACCAAAGATGATATGCACCCCAAAATCTGACCAAAGATTATATGCAGCCCAAGATTTGACCAAAGATGATATGCACCCCAAGATGTGATCAAAGATGATATGCAGCCCAAGATATGACCAAAGATGATATGCAGCCCAAGATATGACCAAAGATGATATGCACCCCAAAATCTGACCAAAGATGATATGCAGCCCAAGATATGACCAAAGATGATATGCACCCGAAAATCTGATAAAAGATTATATGCAGCCCAAGATATGACCAAAGATGATATGCAGCCCAAGATTAGACCAAAGATGATATGCAGCCCAAGATTAGACCAAAGATGATATGCAGCCCAAGATGTGACCAAAGATGATATGCAGCCCAAGATATTACCAAAGATGATATGCACCCCAAAATCTGACCAAAGATGATATGCAGCCCAAGGTATGACCAAAGATGATATGCAGCCCAAGATATGACCAAAGATGATATGCAGCCCAAGATATGACCAAAGATGATATGCACCCGAAAATCTGACCAAAGATTATATGCAGCCCAAGATATGACCAAAGATGATATGCACCCGAAAATCTGACCAAAGATTATATGCAGCCCAAGATATGACCAAAAATGATATGCACTCCAAAATCTGACCAAGGTTTATATGCAGCCCAAGATTTGACCAAAGATGATATGCAGCCCAAGATGTGATCAAAGATGATATGCAGCCCAAGATGTGATCAAAGATGATATGCAGCCCAAGATTTGACCAAAGATGATACGCAGCCCAAGATTTGACCAAAGATGATATTCAGCCAAGATTTGACCAAAGATGATATTCAGCCAAGATTTGACCAAAGATGATATTCAGCCAAGATTTGACCAAAAATGATATGCAGCCCAAGCAATTGATATTAACCATATAATATGAGTCATTATAGAAGTGGGCAGACGTAAGCACATTGGGTTCTCTCCAGCTGTTACATGGATGGTCTATTATGCATTTATTTCCCAGTAAAATTGAGATAGAAAATGTATGGTTAATCCCCATGCATAATGTCTTTTTCAATTTTTGTTTCAGCTACTGTCAGTTATGGTACATAACATTCTTCAAAAAGCAGCATTGGAGAATGTTGAAAGTATTGCATTTCCTGCATTTGGCACTGGTAATCTGAATTACCCATCAGCAGAGGTAGCCAAGATCATGTTCAGCACTATCCACCATTTCAGAAGGACTGTATCCCATTCACTCAAGCAGGTCCTTCTTGTTGTCTATACCAGGGATACAGGTGTTTTCATGGTAGGAAGTGATAAGATACTTTTACACAAATATCTTTTTGTTTGTTGCGAACTATTATCTGTGAATACATTAATTAGTTTGTTCATGGAACTGTGAATGGTAGTCATGGGGGAACATATCTTTTATGCAATGGACTATTGATTCACAGAAAAAAGCAGATTTTGTACTTGATCATGTTCAGTAAAATGAAGTGTTTTCTTCTGAAGAATATAATCAGATATAATGTTTTTGAGTGTTTAAATGGATATTATGTACAGCACTATTTACAGGTTATTGATCTGTGACAGCATGGCCTTTTTTTATCCCATCGACATGTAATGCGGTGGGATATAGTCGTCGCCTCGTCCGTCTGTCTGTCCATCCGTAATCATTTTGTTTCTGGAGCATAACTCAAAGACCGTTCGATATTTTTCAACAAAAATTGGTAGATATGTCAAACATAACCTAAGGTGGTGCCTTTTGCTATTTACAGATTATTGTCAATTTTATTTTTCTCGGTTTCCATGGAAACGTTTTGGACTTAGTCTCCGGAGCATAACGCAAAAACACTCAATACCTTTCAACAAAACTTGGTAGATATATCAAACAGAACCTTAAGTGCTGCCTTTTGCTATTTGCAGATTTTGGGCATTTTTATTTTTCCCGGTTTCCATGGAAACGATTCGGACTTAGTCCCAAAAGTGAGGGGTGGGCTTCGTTTCCGGAGCACAACTCAAGAACCGTTCAATATTTTTCATTTCATATATTGACTTCAGATTTGAGTGATAGCTTCTTTTTTGGGGTGGGGGGGTGCAGTGCAAAGTTTGATACAGATATTTCAGTTTTGTCAAAAATAATCACAATTAATCTATTTTGGCAAATTTGTTCAATGAATTAGTTTCAAATTTCGTTTGTGGTGTCCCCTAGGACCATCTTGTCATGATTTTTAAAATCTGTTGAACATGCTCTATAAGTGTATAAAGGTCGTGCTCTATAAGTGTATAAAAGTCGTGCTCTATAAGTGTATAAAAGCCGTGCTCTATAAGTGTATAAAGGTCGTGCTCTATAAGTGTATAAAAGTCGTGCTGTATAAGTGTATAAAAGTCGTGCTCTATAAGTGTATAAAAGTCATGCTCTATAAGTGTATAAAGGTCATGCTCTATAAGTGTAGCTCTATAAGTGTATAAAAGTCGTGCTCTATAAGTGTATAAAGGTCGTGCTCTATAAGTGTATAAAAGTCGTGCTCTATAAGTGTATAAAAGTCATGCTCTATAAGTGTGTATAAAAGTCATGCTCTATAAGTGTATAAAAGTCGTGCTCTATAAGTGTATAAAGGTCGTGCTCTATAAGTGTATAAAAGTCGTGCTCTATAAGTGTATAAAAGTGTCGTGCTCTATAAGTGTATAAAATAAAAGTGCTCTATAAGTGTATAAAAGTGGTGCTCTATAAGTGTATAAAAGTCGTGCTCTATAGGGTGTGTATATAAGCGGTGTATAAAGTCGGTGCTCTAAAAGTGTATAAAAGTCGTGCTCTATAAGTGTATAAAAGTCGTGCTCTATAAGTGTATAAAGGTCATGCTCTATAAGTGTATAAAGGTCATGCTCTATAAGTGTATAAAGGTCGTGCTCTATAAGTGTATAAAAGCCGTGCTCTATAAGTGTATAAAGGTCATGCTCTTTAAGTGTATAAAAGTCATGCTCTATAAGTGTATAAAGGTCGTGCTCTAAAAGTGTATAAAAGTCGTGCTCTATAAGTGTATAAAAGTCGTGCTCTATAAGTGTATAAAAGCCGTGCTCTATAAGTGTATAAAGGTCATGCTCTATAAGTGTAAAAAAGTCATGCTCTATAAGTGTATAAAAGTCGTGCTCTATAAGTGTATAAAAGTCATGCTTTATAAGTGTATAAAAGTCATGCTCTATAAGTGTATAAAAGTCATCCTAAGTTTTGGCCCCTTTGCAATGTTGAATAGTTGGGGACATGCCCAATTTTTGGGGTCACAGGAAAATTTAGGTGGGAAAACTTTCACAGGACCCCTCTTGGCACAACACTACATCTACAAAATATTATTTATTTATTTATTATTTATTATATTTATTATAGGATATTTATATAGCGCAGATATCCACGCAAATAGTGCATGCTCAAGGCGCTGGTATTTTTTCCCTCGATCATTGGATGTCTACAAAATAGAAAGATATATGCAGGTACTCCCAAATATCTAAAGAGAATAAATGAGCTTTGCTATCAGGAAACTTGTGTAAAGAGCAAATGTCATTCAAGCTAATTAATAGTGAAAAAGCTTTGAACTACAATGTTATTCTTTATTTATACCTTATGGTATCAGATTCACAGTGAAATTGCAGGTCACATGTCATAACATCAGAGGACACTGGGCTGTGAACGGGATGCTTCTGTTTCTGTATTTTTCGATTTTCCACTGGCAAATGTTTTTTATTTGCTTTACATTCAGAGTTTCAAATCTGAAGAGGAGAAATTCCTTAGGCACCTGTCAGTTCCCAGTGCCCATGGAAAACCTGGTAAGTATAATATTGGCAAGCCAGTATAGTTTAAATATGCTGCCTATAATGAATATATCTTAAAGGTCACATGCAACGTAAAACACAACTTTGCAGATTCTGATACCTTTTGGTATGGACTTACCGAAACAAATCGTCAATAATGCAAATTCAACTTATAAAGTTGAAAAATAACGCGATGAAAAAAACGGGCGAAATCGGAGTTCAAATGATTCACTAAGTTTTCTCCGACTTTTCTGGGGAAAACTGGTTTCAACAGCTGGGCTGCGCTCATAGTACGTGGCAGTGAAATAGGTTCGCGCAGCTTGGAAGCGGGTTGTCCGGTGAATACTCGGTGAAGGCTTTGGTGTGAGCTATTTTTCTAATGTTTTGTTGATATCTCACAGGCGCGCGCTTTTTATATGTTATGACAGTAAATTAACTGTTTATATAATTTCATTTGTCTATTTCACCACACGTTCTTCTTACCGAGTCACTTTCACAGTTCGATACTTAAAAGCAATGTCATTATTTAGCGTTGACAGAATTTCTAACTGTGATATAGATATGTCGTTGTCACAGACAAAACTCAATGTCTTGTTTTATTGACACCTATGTGTCTGCCTGCCTGTCTGCTAATGACAATATTCAATACACAGCTGCTATCACTGACCACATGCAATTTGAACTTAACACCAATCAGGCTATACACCATAAACAAAATGCATTGATTTATGACCCGAGTTCGGTCTCTGTCTCATTATGTAATTACACAGACAGGCAGGTGTGATACTTGAACACATGACATGTTATGATGTCTGTTGATTGCAAAATGTTATACACAAAAAATGAGCATCTATTTACAAAACCCAACATCTCTATATATACACAGACAATGAGCCGTGAGGGCATCTGCAAATGAACCAGCCGTTACACTTGAGTGCACACCCACCCGCTCTGACTGGGTTTGGTATCCCGGCTGCTTCGTTTCTTGGGAAGTAAACCCAAGTACACAATATTGCACTTTTGATTTGCGATTGTACGCTTATAATTTTGTTTATATGTTTTTTCATAACCAGCAATGTATATTATATGTCATGAATAAGTGATAATTGTGTTTTAATTATGTTTGATTTTTTGGTTGCATGTGACCTTTAACTACAACTTCAGTAAGTTTTTACTGGGAAATAATTAGGTAGACCAATGATGAGATGACCTGTGGAATTGGCATGCCATGAACTTTTCAAGAATTTTTGGGCATTTATTTTTCCATAAGGCCGGAACAATTTTATTTCTTGTTTTACAGATTTTTGTCCTCAGAAAAAATAAAATAAATAAATAAATACTAAAAGTATTTTACTTTTGGCAATTTATGAAGTGTATATGGGGCAAAACACAATCTAACAAAAAAAAATTCTTGTACATTTAGAGTTTTGACCAATAAAACATAAGGATCTATTTTTTGAGTGGGGAAAATTAACTTTTATTTTTTTTCTTATTTTTGAAAAAATATGACCAGCAGATCCGTAAAACAAGAAATAAATTTGGTCTGGCCTAACCTTGAAAACAATATACGATGCTAACTGACTACTGTTTTCTGATTGGCTGACATTACAGTGGGCAGGGCTTCTGTTGCATTGTTGCACTGACTGGTGTCAGTCCACTGAGAACATATTGCCTTTATCAGGAAGTTACTGTTTTTGTAGGCTGGTAGAGGAACATACTGTCATTAATAGTGTAAGAGCTAATGGCTGTTCTTAGTGTTCACAAACTTAAGTCAGTGAGAGATTGAGTATGGTTTTACGCTGCTTTTAGCAATATTCCAGCAATATCACAGGGGATTACCAGAAATGGGCTTCATACATGTGGGGAATCAAATCTGGCAGCATGACGAGCAGACGCTTTAACCATTAGGCTACCGCCCCATAAACTTACAGCACAGCACTCCATGAATAGGAGTAAAAAATGTTCCTTCTGAAAGAAGAACATCTTGATTGACCTTTCTGACACATATTCAAGGACTGGCTTCCACCATGCAAACTGTTTCGTGGCCCCTACAAGCAAAGTGATTTCCTGGCATGCTTACTTAATACTGACGTTTGTTGTTTTTTATCCCCCCGGCATGTAATGCGGGGGGATATAGTCAACGCCTCGTCCGTCCATCCGTAATCATTTTGTTTCCAGAGCATAACTAAAAAACTGTTCAATATTTTTCAACAAAAATTGGTAGATATATCAAACAGAACCTGAGGAGGTGCCTTTTGCTATTTGCAGATTTTTGTGATTTATTATTTTTTCTCGGTTTCCATGGAAACGATTCGGACTTAGTCTCAAAAGGGAGGGGTGGGTTTCGTTTCCGGAGCACAACTGGAAAACTTCTTAATATCTTTCAGCAAAATTTGGCAGATATGTGAGGCAGATGCCAAAGCAGTGCCTTTTGCTATTTGGCAGATTTTTGGCATATTTATTCTTCCCGGTTTCCATGGAAACGATTAGGACTTAGTCCCAAAAGGGAGGGGTGGGCTTCATTTCCGGTGCACAACTCGAAAAGCGTTCAGTATCTTTCAACAGAACTTGGCAGATATATTAGGCAAATTTTGAAATGGTGCCTTTTGCTATTTACAGATTTTTGGCATTTATATTTCTCATGATTTCCATGGAAACGATTTGGACTTAGTTTAAAAAAATGTCAAGCTGGACTTTAAGTAACTGTCAGATGATTTGACGTTTCAAATATGTGGGGCCGGGGGGATATGTCATCTTCTGATGACTCTTGTTTAATTTAGTATGAATAAAGAAGCAGACAGTGAATTTATTGTTGTTGACATTTATTTATGATTATCAACTTCAAAATGTTTTATTCACATTAATGGAGGCTTTACGATTTAAATAACTTGTACTGTGTTCTAAATAAACAAAACAACACATTGAACTCAGTTTTTTAATTCAACTTGGCTTATGCCTTCTCTTGTAATCGGCAGTGATATAGTAGATTTTGGCCAGGCTTTGTCAAAGACCAAGCGTTTCGTGAGGCATACCTGTTTCCACAGGCAAGGAACTTTCCTAATAAATGTTAAACGTCACATGCAACGTAAAACACAACTTTGCAGATTCTGATACCTTTCGGTATGGACTTACCAAAACAAATCATCAAAAGTGCAAATTCAACTTATAAAGTTGAAAAATAACGCAATGAAAATATCCGCGCGAAATTGGAGTTCAAACGATTCACTAATTTTCCCCCAGCGCGTTGGGGAATTGAAGTGGTTTCAACAGCTGGGCTGCGCTCATAGAACATGCGCAGTGAAATAGGTTCGCACAGCTTGGAAGCGGGGTGTCCGGTGAATACTCAGTGAAGGCTTTGGTGTGAGCTATTTTTCTAAATGTTTTGTTGATATTTCACAGGCGAGAGCTTTTCATATGTTATTACAGTAGATTACCGATTTAACTGTTTATATAATTTCATTTGTCTATTTCACCACACGTTCTTCTTACCAAGTCACTTTCTCAGTTCGATACTTAAAAGCAATGTCATTATTTAGCATTGACAGAATTTCTAACTGTGATATAGATATGTCGTTGTCACAGACAAAACTCAATGTCTGTTTTATTGACGCCCATGTGTCTACCTGCCTGTCTGCTAATGACAATATTCAATACACAACTTCGATCGCTGACCACATGCAATTTGAACTTAACACCTATCAGGCTATACACCATAAACAAAATGCATTGATTTATGGCCCGAGTTCGGTCTCTGTCACATTATGTAATTACACAGACAGGCAGGTTTGATACTTGTACACATGACATGTTATGATGTCTCTTGAGTGCACACCCACCCGCTCTGACTGGGTTCGGTATCCCAGCTGCTTCGTTTCTTGGGAAGTAAACCCAAGTACAAAATATTGCACTTTTGATTTGCGATTGTACGCTTATAATTTTGTTAATATGCTTTTTCATAACCAGCAATGTATATTATATGTCACGAATAAGTGATAAGTGTGTTTTAATTATGTTTGATTTTTTGGTTGCATGTGACCTTTAATGTATTTATCATGAAACTTGGTATATCCCTCCTCGAGTACAGTGCACTGCTTTAACTAAAACTATAACAGCTTTTAGTCAAATATGTTTTCTATTTGAAACATTGTCATATTGCAGGAAACCATAATCATAACAACTCACCTGGTGCCCAGGGTAACCAGCATTCAATCCAAACAGATCCAGGAAGGAAACTTCAATTTGGACCTTGCCAGGTTGTTGTCAAGCAAGGCAACATTGCACTTGAAACTGTGGAGTGTATTGTCAACCCAATACACAAGGACATGGACTTACGGGGTGGTGAGTGTAAAAGAGTTGTGTGAGGGTTGATAGATATGTTCAGTTCTCACATAGGAATTGCACAATATTAAAGAACTTTGTTGTGTTCATTGCATGATATCATTGAGATGTATCTACAAAAACTAGAGTCAATTTAGCAAATTGTTTTGATGTGAAAAGTCAGTATAACAAGCAAGGTTCTGTGGTCAAATTTGAGGATTTTGCAATGATCAAGAACTTATAGGAAAAGGACTTGAGGGAAATAGCAGAAAAAGATTCCCTTGCCATGCCTCCTTAAAGCATTCTCTTCCCACAGAGGTTACTCCTGTCATATCTTCCTACGTAACCTCTGTTCTAATACGGCCCTTTCATGGTGTGAGCGTTGAAGACTCGTGATTGGAGGAAGTCAGATTTAGTTGTGCAATCAGCGACGTTGTTTCAAAAGAGATCATTCGCAAGGCCTCGGTAATTTCCGTATACTTCGAGAAAACTAAACCTCTTCCCCTGCTCGATGCGCAAACGTTTCTTCTAGACAGAACTCAGTCATGTTATGGCGGATCAGTGGCGTCTCCATTGCCCTCGTTGACAATGGACAAGCTAGCCATTAAACGTCTTGTGTGTAACATCAACACAAGTTCCCGGCAGATGGGGGATATTTGTGGCCTCACATATGCTTGTGTTAATCAAATTGAATCTAAGTCGATGTAACACGTGTTCTGATTGGATAGAAAGAAGGGAGATAATTCGTGTTGCAATCTTTTGCCGCTAGGGGATTTTACGAGAACCGGGAAATATGGCCGTATTAGAACAGAGGTTCGTAGGAAGATATGACAAGTAACCTCTGTGGGAAGAGAATGCCTTAAAGAGGTGGAAAGCAGACTCTGCTACTTGAATACTACTCCCTTAACTGAAAGGCCTGTGACATTGTCAACCAAAGCAATGGTAAAGATCCAGATATGGGGATTACCGAGTTGACTGAGTGTGATATTGTAGTTCAGTTTCCTCATCATCAGCTCTGCAGCAGCCTTTCAAGAAGTTTTCTAACCCTGATTTCTGATGCTTCTACACAAGTTTGTTTAGGCTGATCCTCAAACCCATACATTAGTGCAATCCTTTGGATACTGTGTTGGCATTCTCATTGCCCTTCTGATATTTCTAATCCTTTCCAATGATACTGCCATTATGGTAAAATCATATGAGAGCTCCAGTTTCTGTGAGCCCCTCTGGAGGAATGAGGGTCAGTACTGCAATTGCTCAGTGTGTCCTTCATCCACAAACATCTTGCCAGGTGAGTGGCGCTTTCAGGCTCGTGAGGTGAGTGAGTGAGTTCTGTTTTATGCCACTCATAGCAATATCCCAGCAATATTACAGCAGGGGGACACCTGAAATGAGCTTCATGCATTGTACCCATTTGGGGAATCGAACCCTGGTCTTCAGCATGTCGAGCGAACACTTTAACCACAAGGCTTCCCCACCATCCAGGTTTGTGGCGTTTCCATTTTACATTACTATTCAGCTGTACTTAACATCAGAACAGGATTTCCTTTGCCAAAAAGCTACTATCTTGCTGACTGACAATCGGTAGCGGAACATACACTCATGAATTATGTAAGAGATTATAACTGTTCTTGAAGTTCACAAATTCAAGGTTCACTTACAGCACAGTACTCCATGAGTTGACGTAGAAAACGTTTAGACAGACTGGACATTGAACAACGGGTCACTGGTTTATTCTTTCTGTTGGAGATGTCACCAGACTCAGACACTTCTGTTGCTATGGAGTCTGGTGCTTTCATGTTACATGAGATAGGGAAAGCTGTTCCCCCCTCTGAAAGAACTACTTCTTGATTGACCTTTCTGACACAGATTCAAGGACTGGCTTCATCCACCCAAACTGTTTTGTAGTCCCTACAAGCAAAGGGATTTCCTGGCATGCTTGCTCAACAATGGCCACCATGGCAGTCACATTATTCTAATATTTCTTTGGGTTTCGTTTGAATCCATTTTTATGAATATGAATGAATCCATACTCAGGCAGTGAGATTTCTCATTTATATTTATCACTTTCATGTAATTTCTAAATTTACATGACTGTTACCTTGTCAATAACTGTTTGAAAGAATTGATCTAAATTCAATCAAATTCAATCTTTTAGTACTAAACCTATTCTTAAGGCCATATGATATAAACAAAGACTGAGTTTGACAGACAGACATATTTTTAAATATAAAGTTTGACCACAGGCAATGTGATATGATCATAACTCTCTTGCTCTTAAGCACATAAACAGTCCAAGAAGATATCTGGGTCTGTTTTCAGGGAGTGTTTCCAAGGCTCTATTTTCTGTTGGTGGGAAACTATTTCAGGAGAACACCAAAATGATGGGTGAGTTGATTAATATTTATATACTGCCCAAACCAACTTTTTATGTTTCTGATCTTTGTCTGTCTTACAACATGAACATTTTGACCATAAGTCAGACATGTCTTTTTAAAGATAAATGTTTAGCGTTACCCTGTTTTCTTGCAGTCTGAGAGAGTTTGCTGTAACTGACCTCATGTAGTTCAAAGTTTATGGTATTGAAAAACACAATTACTTCACAGAGTGAATGTTCAATCCCAAACTGCAGGTGATTTTTCTGTCATCTGTGATTAGTTTGGACCAATCAGTGTATTATTAGACATCTTGTAAATTAGAAATTTAAAATATTTTCATTCCGTTAAGTTATGGGTCTACATTTAGTTGCGTTATCTTCATTAGTCATCAAGCAGTATATGTGTTATCACGTTTAGTTCCCAGTATTTGTCAGGAATATATGTCATTATCTTTAGTTTATAAAACTTCCACAAAATCAGCATTCTCTTTGAAACACAAGTATTCCCACATTAGCGACATTTGCTCTGAAACTTTAATAAAAATAATTCCATCTATAGTGTTGCTACAAAGTGCTCACTTAATTTTAATGCAATGCATGGATACAGCCAAATTAAGAAAGCCATTGATGGCTATTTGTATGACATCTTCTTTTCAAAATGTATTCAAATTTGGCACAGGAGTGGTTAGTTGTGCCATAGGCCCAAATATCTATGTTGGGTTTAAGTGTCATTAAGTTACAATTTCAAAGTAGTGTGAACTGCAGAGACTATTGGGTGCATTTTTATTTGTTTGCAATTTCTGAAGTAACTATTTGACTATTTCCTGATCGTATCTCGTATCTACTGCCACCCAGCAATACCTCCAAATTGGTCGTAACACAGTATCATCCAACAGTGCGTATTAATTGATCTTTCTTAAATATATTTCATGTTACATGAACAACGGTAATCAAATCATCATAAGGGTATTAAATAATGAGTTATAATAATTAATAATAATTTAAGTTATTACTGTACACAACTGTTGTCCTCTTTAAGCATGAAACTTCGATCTCTTGACCACATAATGAGTGAGTGAGTGAGTTGGGTTTTACACCGCTTTTAGCAATATTCCAAAAATATCACGGCAGGGAACACCAGAAATGGGCTTCGAATGATCACAAAATGACACACCAACCAGCTCAGCTTATAAAAATGTCATGACATAATTATCAGTCGACAATATTAAGTTTAATTACTTGATGTGAGATTATATACAAGTCCTATTATGGTTCACTTTCCTATTCAGTGAATCAAACAGTATCCTTTCATAAATTAAATTCGTAATTCATGGTCACTAGAATTGTTTATTAACAAATATTTTTATAACAGTGTTTCTCATTTGAAACTTGTCAGTTTTTTGTCAATGTGAGATAGGCAAAATGAAACTTGTATCATTTGCCAAACCCACTTAATGTAATGTCATCATCACAATATTTTGCCTTTTGCTTTATAAAAAATATCATTGACATTTATTTACCTAAGCAATTACATGTTTGTTAATATAATTCCTTCCTGTTAGGAAACATGTTCATGAATAACTATTCCTTTTCATTATCCTGTATTTGTCACACATATCATATTCTCCTCTTGGTGTAATTGCTGTGGCCATACAATATACTTCAGTCACAGTAGGTCAGCTAATAGTTAGCTAAAGTTCTAATTGTTAAATTAATCATGAATAAGTCTACAAACCTCCAACTGAACATGATTTTAACAAGTTGTAGTTGTCTAAACTTATCTAAACCTGAGAGTAAATGAGAAGCAATAGTAACCAGTTTTTTTTATATCCTATTAATTTGCATCAGAAATCAGAAGAATAGTTTTGGAACTGTAAGGGAATCTTACCATCAGCCGAACTGATGCGTTAAACTGAAAGTGATAAATTGATGCAATAAAATTTTAACTATTTCAGGAGACAGGCTATCGAAAGACAGAGTAGCTGGAGTGCAATTCACAGACCAAACAGCAGTGCTACATGTATGGCGGGATTTCATTGAAAGTAATCAGAAACAAGCAATGATTGCTTGCTTAAATCATGCAAACAAGAAGGATTACAAGACCATTGCATTTCCAGTTCTGAAAACAGGTATTCATTGATAAGAATTAAGTGATACTAGTAATTTCAGTTTTCATTTTAGATCACACTTACAAAGTCTTCATGCGCTTTACGTCATGCATTGACCACCTGATTCCGTTAGTCGCCTCTTACGACAAACATGGGTTACTGAGGGCACATTCTAACCCGGATCTTCACGGGTCCAGGGGTCCTTTAGACAACAAACAAATGTCACAAAACTGAAGGGGAATTTCTTGATGGTTATGTCTCCAAATGTACATTTTGTGAGGAAGAATGATGACAATACTAAAATTGGTCCTCAAAGCATTACCTGACTTTCCTGAAATGAGACCAAAAAAAATCTGAAATGGGATGACATAGATTCCCATACTGACATCACATTGCATATGTCTTTCTATCAGCCAAAGTGTTATCATCAGCCTGTATGTTAGGGTCAGCTATTCAGTGACATATAAGTGGTTGACAGTGCTCGACCACAAAGGAGGAAGAGATCTTGCTCATGAATGCTGCAAAACATCATCTGTTCATGACTGCCAACACACTCCTAAATAACCTGTAGAACACCAGTGGCAATTAACTGAAATACTTAGTGTGCAATCATGTCCCTGAGGCAGTGGTCTCCAGTTACGGAGGGGATGTATTTTCATCCCACTGACCTGACGTAAACATGTTATTTTTTGGAAACAGTAACTTGAAGGCCAGATCCAATGAACAAAACAGGATTGTCACACCTGCTCTCAGAAACCAGCAGTTCAATCGACCTCCCTGCATTGCTGCTGGTGAATAGAATCAAGACATCCTTTGCACATCCAGACATGATCAGGTTATACATTTGGTGTCAAAGCAACATCATTGTCTTGTCTGTGTGAGTGAGTTTGGTTTTATGTTGCTTTTAGCAATATTCTAGCTATATCAAGGCAGGGGGCAAAAGAAATGGGCTTCACACATTGTATACATGAGGGGAATCGAACCCGGGTGTTCAGCGTGATGAGTGAACCACTAGGCTACCGCACCGCCCCCTACTGTCAGAGAATGTCAACATGTATCTGTCACATGACATGTCCCCTGATCACATGATAAACACCCTTGTTTAGAGTGATCGATGAATGCCAATGATCCATGACTACCTTGTGCAAATATTTTCTTACAGGAACTGGGTCTCAAGTTGTTGAGGAAATGGCCAGTGATCTCTACTGTGCAGTCAGATATGTTTTCAAAAAGCAAACCATCGTATCATGCATCACTGTTGTTGTCTATCAACCAGCACATGTACACCAGTTCTATGACAAGGCAAAGGAACTAGTTGCAAGAGGTAATGTTATGTGCTTATGTATGTAAATTACCGGTAAGTGACACAAGACTGTTTCATGCAGCCTTCCAACACTGTTCATTGAATATCACCAATGTCAAAGTTGTGTTGTTACAGTTTAAACATGTTATGCTTGATCTACTCAAACACAGTTTTTGATAAAAACAATTGTGAAAAGATTCATAAATGACATGGTATAAACTACGATAAGGTATAAAGAGCATGATATGAAGATCTAAATTTAGTTGAAACTTAAAAAATGCAAGGTATTACTAATGTACCATGATTTGGAATACTGATAAATATCTCCCCATGTGACCATGTGTCCGTGTTTCATGACCCATGTCTCCGTGTTTCATGACCCCATGTCTCTGTGCTTCATGACACCATCTCTCCGTGTTTCATGACCCCATGTCTTCGTGTTTCATGACCCCATGTGACCATGTCTCCGTGTTTCATGACCCCATGCACAGTCTCTGTTTTTCATGACCCCATGTATCCGTGTTTCATGTCTCCATGTTTCATGACCCCATGTCACCATGTTTCCGTGTTTCATGACCCAATGTGACCATGTTTCATGACCCCATGCACAGTCTCTGTGTTTCATGACCCCATGTATCTGTGTTTCATGACCCCATGTCACCATGTCTCCGTGTTTCATGACCCCATGTGACCATGTCTCTGTGTTTCATGAACCCATGCACAGTCTCTGTGTTTCATGACCCCATGTCACCATGTTTCTGTGTTTCATGACCCCATGTCTCCGTGTTTCATGACCCCATGCACAGTCTCTGTGTTTCATGACCCCATGTATCCGTGTTTCATGACCCCATGTCTCCGTGTTTCATGACCCCATGTGACCATGTCTCTGTGTTTCATGACCCCATGTCACCATGTTTCTGTGTTTCATGACCCCATGTGACCATGTCTCCGTGTTTCATCACCCTATGTCTGTGTTTCATGACCCCATGTCTCCGTGTGTCATGACCCCATGTCACCATGTCTCCGTGTTTCATGAATTGAGGTGGAAGTTAAGGTGCTCTCCAGGTCACAGTTCCAGAGGTTCTCTGTTCAACCTAAGAATTTCTTACATCAAATTCCATCTTTCAAATTTCAAAATGTGCCAGTTCACTATTCAGTACATCCTCTTCCATCATTTCAGTTTCCCTGATGGTTTCCATACCTTTGTACATGTTACTGTTTGTATCTGTAGCAGTCTGATTACAAGTGTGTTACAAATACAGTCATCCCTCGCAACCACCATTTTAGTTAAACCTCGGGGTAATCTGTTGCTCCCGTAAAAACAAAGTTCCCGGGCGATCACACGTCTTCACGTCATCGGAAATAGCATATCAACAAATACACAGTTGTGCTCAGGTTAATCATGTTGTAAACTAGAGAAATTCAGTGCGGATTGCAATGAACAGTGTTCATCGTACATATATCCTTCTATTATGGGTTTTCAGATGCATTAGTAACATTTGGGATATTTGACATTCAGTCATAGTCAGTGGCTAATTCAAACTAAAAGACATAAGCTGTACCTTTAGTACTGTTTGTTCACTCAATTTGATATGGATAAATAGCGTAAAATTGTTACAACTGACACAACTGATCTGTCCTATTTACCCTTTACTACACTAATTTTAGGAACTCATGACTCCCTAACAATGGAAAGAGAGACTCAAAGATCTGAGGGATGTCAACAAGTCTGCTTTAAATGGTGTTCTGACGACCCAGTTTGCAAGAAGAATGTTGAAGAGAAGATATCTACTTTGCAAGACGATGGCTATTTCACAGAGACTGTCCCACTTCCTTCATTTGTTAATGTGAGTATTGCCAAGCTGCTGATAGGTAATATTTATGATCTGTGTTCATTGAAATAACAGATTGTCCAGTGTCCAGATAGTCAGTTCACAGTGTACATTATGGATGCATGTATCTTATTCAAATGCATTTAAGCAACCTGTTATTTATAACAAGTGTTTGCAGTGTACGAAATAGCTACTGGCCTGCTAGCCCGTGGCTAGTAAAAATCCAGTAAATGTCCATAGTGGACCAACTGGCTAGTGAATTTTCATGGGGTCATTTTGTAAATATATTACTTTCTCCGACTTGTTAGTTATAATACACTTAAAATCATGCAAGATTATGGCCTGATAAAAATGTTTATCATGTTAGCAGCTTAATGATGGAACCTGTGGCATACCGACAATATCTTATTCTCATCTCTTTTTGTGATCTTTTGTTTGCTTTCTGCATTCTGCATTCAAATTTCGGTTTAGTGAATTATTTTGTGGGCTAGTAACTTTCAGGCATAGCTAGCCCGACTGGCTACCAAAATTTAGAAACTATTTCGTTTAGTGAGTGTTGGAGTCACTGCATTGAAACATACTACATGTATTTTGGGGGAGACAAGCCTTTCTCCAATGTTGTATTAAATAGATGTAAACTAATTCTGTCCCCAAAATAGGCAAGTCTTAACCAGTGGACAGTACAGAATTCCAATCATTTTTAGGGACGAGTATCTGAGGACCTATTCTGTTACGATGAATAGTGCTATGCACACAGATAATAAGGACTTTCATGAAGAATACATGAACAGATGATGTTAAACTGTGTAGAAAATGGAATGCATACATTATTACAGACATTAATTGTAATCAACACATTAATCAGGGTTTTACCTTGACTCATGAACATATGAGGGTCTTGTGAAGCAACAGTGTAGAGTGTATGTATGTATGTGTGTGTGTGTGTGTGTGTGTGTATCTATGTGGGTGCATGTATGTACATGTGTATGTGTGTAGGTATGTGTGTGCATATGTGTGTGTGTGTGTGTGTGCGTGTGTGTGTGTGTGGATGGATGGATGGATGCTTTGAAAATTTCTTTAGAGCCTGAAATGATATGAGTCACAGATATTTTATGAGTAGAATGAATAATATTGTGTGTCCCTCTGGATACAGTGAATTCTTTTTCTGCGTCCATTCTCTGCATTTGCTTGTACTGGATGCTCACTTGCTTGTAGTGTAAAACAATGTTACTTTAAGTAACTACACAGGAACATGACCATATATACGTCTCTGAAAACACATGAAAGCGACACAGAAAGTCAGCTGAATGTCTAATCCCAAATTTCTTTTGAACTATTGAGTATTTGCACAGGTAATGTTTCAGGTTGAGTAAGACATTAAGTCTTTTATACTTCTCCCATTTTTAAAGTTATTTAGTTCTATGTATAAGTGTTCTGATCATGCATACACTGAAGGTGATTTTAGCTTTAGCTTTATTCAAATAAATGCATGCATAGATGGAAAGAGATATGAATTTGTGGGTACTTTGAATGTAACAATGGAGTTATGGTGAAGTGGATCTAACAATGATCTCGAAGGTCCTGTGGGTCCTACTCAGTATCTCCATGTCCACTGTACCTTAGTTACCTGTGCCTGCCCAAACACACGCCATTAAGCTTAGCATTCAACAAACAGGCTCTCTGTGAGAGATGTCATGACTGGTTTTTCCTTTCATTGTAGGTCCAAAAGGTCTGAAGGTCAACCTGTACCATCTTATGGCTCATTGTCTGTCATCTGTTAATTTCTTTTTAACCCAGCATTAAAATCAAGATTTAATTATTCAACCTTTAACAGATTCTCACTCAAAATTATTTAAATTCGTAAACTGCAACTGGAAAGATGTTGATTGACATATTTCTTTCCACAGATGAAGGACGTGTCTGAAATTGGGAAGGAACTACCTGTGAATATAACAAGGCTTCAAGAAAAACATTCCATAGATGTAATTGGCAAAGGAGTTCAGTTTCTAAAAGAAGTGAAGTCCTTGCATCAGATGATAGAGCGAAAGGTGGCTGAACATGACATTCTGCATGCAGACAAAGATCACAGTCAGGTAGGTGTCAGGATTATGCAATACAGTGATAATAGAGCATACAGAATACAGCATGGATACAGATGCATAATAAATGTCCATTATTTTTTATGAAAAACTTCACAAAGATATTCATAAGAGATCTCCAAGGGAATGTGATTTGTTTTCTTCAGATATTAAAAGCATGTGTGGGAATGACTGCCTTTCAGATTCAACTGTTAAGAAATGGGATGTTGAATTGAAACAGACCTAAAGAAAACCCCAGGTCTGGTAGTCCTAAAGATGGCATCTGAAACTTAAACAAAGGTCTTTCATGGCATAATTATGGGTGACCGACATATTACAATGCAACATTACACTAACACAATTAATATCATTTTTCTTCAGTTCTTTGCAGAAACATTTTTTATGTGAATTGTAAGCCAAGAGATCCAACTGAAAAGTAGTATGTGAATTTTTGAACGATTCAGGAATGGACAAATTTGACTTTTGAACCAGTTCTGGGTGGACAATTTGATATTTTAACCACTTCAGGGTGGAAGGGGGAATTGAGCCGGAAACAACTTTAGGATTTGAACAATATACATATAGACATTAAAATGATAAATTCTGAAGGGTTACACGTTGTATTTGTGTACACCAACTGCATATTTGAGTATTTACCTAACATACGTCTTTGAACATGTACGTGTGTAAAATAAGAACAACAACAATAATGGCTATGATAACACAATGTGGATGGTCAAAGTGGTGCTTCAGTGTGGGGCAGGACCAAAGCTATTGAAACTCGCAGTAGTCAAGCTACCTCTCCCTCCAACTTGTCTCCTCAATTTTAACTGACGTGTGACTGGTGTGATTTGCACAGGACCATCGGTCTCCACTATAATAGTTGTGTTATCCTTTCTAATCAAGAGTAGTCCATTAGTTAGATATCAGATAAGATTAAATATGTACTTGTTATATTCCAATGGAAATTTGTTTCCATGACAACATTGTCAGTAGCAAAAACATGATTATTATTATAGAATTCTTGTTTGTAGAAGTCACAATTGCTGGCTTGTTGTAATACCCACTTTACTGTGTAGCAATCATGTCACATCCAAGAATATCAGAGTGTATAGCTTGTACATCTAGCTGTAAATAATGTATTCCTGACAACTGATCACAGTAAGAATAGGCATTTTACTGTTTCAATAAGTGGTTCAGGCCCACATCTAGTCCCATAGCTAGAGCAAATGTCAGGAAAAATTCCCCTATTGTTATTAACATTTTCCCTGTTCATGTGAATACATGGATCATTAAAATTATGTCATGGCTTTGTGAAGGTAACTTTTATATCACTGATAATAGAACAGTAACGACAAGTTAGTAGATTACCTTTTGTACTGTTTAGTCATGGTCACTTCTCAGAATCTTCTCCTAACTCTGAAGATATTTCAAGAATATAGAAGATTTGAAGGTATAGATGCAGATGCACATATCCACTGTCAGTATCAGTTTGTATTAGGGCTGGGACAAGTCCAAATTTTCTACCGGGGTACTCCACCTCATATTACCCTATCCTTCCCTGATACCCATTTGGTTAATTCCTGACATCAAAGTTGCAAGAAATGGCGATACTTTTTTCAGCTTGGAGGCTAAAATTGGGTGCAACATTTTATGAGATATCTCGTTTCCATAAGTTAGAAAAGTGGTCAAAGTGTCATGGTGACCTTGAAGATAAGTTCCATGTCACCCAAATCAACTGGTGTCTGTGTAATCCCCCAATGTAGGCTGTCACCAAATCTGAGGACATTGGGTACCACAGTTCATGAGATATCGTGTTAACAAGATTTGGGACGTATGTACGGACGCTGCTGAGTGCATCGTCCTCCATTCCTCATTGCAGCGGGGGACAAAAAGGGTTAAATGTTCACTTTTCCATTACTGCAGTGATAAACTTCCTCACCATTTTATCAACCAAAATTTTTTCCAAAATCTGAATTTTGAACAAAATAATAATTTTGCCCAGTTTGGAATCCTACACAAGGCTGGGAAGCATTACCCTGAGTTTAGATCTAAATATCTATGATCAGGATTAAGAAAAATACTTTTAGTCCAAGAATATTTAGGAGATAAACGTACTGTGTTTGAAAATTGGATGAATGTTAGATCGATTTGACAGTCTCTAAATTTCATTTGAAACCTAACTCATAGAATAATAAATAAAATACATTGCATTCTCCAAAATGACTTGATTCTTATTCTTGTATAATTATAATTTTATTTCCGTTTTTTAGTTGAATATCAACAGATGTACAGTTAACTAAAATCAAACCAGACAATTCATGTTAGTACAAATTAAATCATGCAGACTAACAATGACATATATTTTTCATGTTTTCTTCGCAATATTACCACCAGAACTTGTAGTTTTGGTATCATCACGTGACATGCACAGCTGTGATTATCTCAAAAAAGCCACCCATTTTTATGTATGGTCCTGTTCTCTGTTGAGTTGTGAAGAGGCAAAGCTGCTGCTTCTTTTTACTTTGCATCACTCCTCTTCCATTGGTTCTTACATCTTTAAAACCCTAATCTGTAATTGTGAATCTTTTAACAACATTTAGAAGTGATACACATTACGCATAAAAGCTGAGAATTCATGGATGTCAACTTCTTTATTATGAGGGACACATTTCGGGGTATATTCATACTCCTTCATCAGGTATATACTTCTCACCTTTTATCAGTAATTTTGATTGTGCCAAGTTACAACAGTGCCTTGGTTCATTTTCCTTAACCTGTATCATATTATTTTATGTTAAAATAGTTGATGAGGATGATGAACTATTTGGAGCTGGCAGCAGTGGAAAGTTCAGTGACCCTCTCAACATGCTGACTGTAAATACAAAGGAAACCATTAGATATGATCAGAAGGAACTGTCTGAGGCAAGTCTTAACAAGATGGATAGCTTCTCAAGTAAATATGACCCAATGAAGTATGAAAACCAAGCTTACAGCTCACATTCTCCAGCAGCAAGTAACTTTGGAAATGTATCAAACACGAGTGCTCCCAGTAAACCATATGAGGAAGATACTGAAGAGAGGGCCAACTCAGCAGCTTCTTTGGAGGCAGGCCTTGCAGTATCCAGGGTAGCACCTCAAACAGCTCATCCTATGAAATGGTACTACTTGGATGGTATTGATGAGACACTTGAATCATACGAGCAAGTCAGTGAAGCCATTGAGCAGTCATACCTCAGTGGGGACAAGACTTATGAACTTCCATACTCTTCCGGACAGAACTATGTGATTGACTTTGCAAAAATGGAGGAAGTTGATAAAAGTAATCCTGAAGACAAAGTTGCAGTGTTGAGGAGGGAAGATATCATGATAAAAGGTAACGCTGAAATTATATATTTTGCACTGTGAGATTATCAGTATGTTTTTATTCATCCCAGACATTCACGATGCACTGATGCATTTAAAAGACTAACCCTACATTATCATTGACTTCTCCATGTCCTTGTACATGTTTTTCAGGATTCTCTGAAAGACAAAATGCAAACGCAATGTATATTTATAATAAAATGTCCATTCCCCCAGGACCCTCAGTAAATATGTGCAATATGACCTCTCTGATTCCCTCTGACACCTTCCCCACCCTCCCCCACCCTAGTGTCATGATAGCTTTTGTGCAAAACTAGTTTTATGTCCTTTCTTTCTAAATAAGATAAATGAGCATGTCTATAATTTTCTTCCAAATGTGGCGTATAAGCTTGTAAAGCCGTCAAATGAAGAAAGAAGGTTTAAGAAGTTCTACTTACTGAGAGAAAAGTATCCATGAGAGTGGAAAAACATTTATGTTTTGTCATTTTTATCACAATATACCATTTACTTATCATGAGAAGATGAATTTATAAACTTGTTCTCTTTAAAAAACATACAAATGATTTGAAAAATTGTGTAACGTAAGACTTAATGTTTTTGTTTTGCAATAATGACTTTACACATTTTGGAAAATTTCAATTGTGAAATGCATATAAATAGACATGGCTGTTTAGTTCCTTGTGGTTTGTCTATGTCAGTTCCATAATCTTTATTAAGAAATTCTTAATGTTAAACAGCTAACTTTTGTGACATTCTTTGTTGTGGTCTGTTTGTATTTTCTGTTAACAAATATATTAACCAAATGCCTATGCAACAAGTTCACTTTCTTGCCTCTCTCAACAAGCATAATCACATGTTGTGACTAGCAAGGGCTGCTGAAGATCATTTCTAACAAAATGTTCATGTGTCTCTGCTGTGCCTACAAGACTATTAATATTTCAACATACTGATGCTATTCAAATGATAGTCCAAGGATCAGGCCATGAAAATAATCAAAATCTCTTGAAATACTCTTATCAAGGCATGAAAGTAGAACTTACCTCGTACATGTTTTAGAACATTGTGTTCAAATGTGTAGATTTTGAAGATATGAAGTTGCCAAAAAAGTGGACAGAAATGGAAGGAGACCTGGCCATGGTAACTCTGAAGGCATCTGAGGAAGAATATGCTGGAGTGAGGAAGGTATTCGAAACATCTTCTGGCGGCATGGATCAAGTCATTCTCAAGGTAAAACTATAAGTTTACCCTTTAGTTGTGAACTGGTAGGGTAGCCCTATACACAGAGCTTTGAATTGTGTTTGATATGAAAAGGAAGTGTTTGAAATTATAAATGAATGTCAACAGGTCCTTATGAAAACCCTAGGGTTAAAAAGATTAGGGCATCTCAAGATTTAATTTATTGGAATCAAAATCTCAAGGACACTGAATACACCTTGATTTCTAACATTGTAAAAAATATGATTCCAATCCCCAAAAGGGTACAAAATCTCAGTGTCCCCCATTACTGAAATATTGCCAAAAAAGTGATTCTCATGAATTCATTCTCTTCAAATCTCTATTTATGAATAACAACATTTTTCAAAATTAGCATCTGTAAACATGCAGTTCTGCAGACATTATTTTTACACAGGATGTAAGAAACACTGTCGCTAAATTTTGAGTACACAGATATGTGTTCTGGGATGTAACTTTTTTGGGGTGATGAAAATGTGAAAAAAATAGACAGGAGTCAACAGTGTAAAATAGCCATGCAAAAAGTGCAGAGACTATTAGTTTTTAACACTGCACTCAGCAATATTCCAGCTATGTGGAAGTGGTCTGTAAATAATCGAGTCTGGACCAGACAATCCAGTGAACAACATCATAAACATAAACCTATGTATAGTCTGTTTGCAGTGAAAACATACCGGTGAATTGCACTTTAAACAAAAATGTAAATCGAATAAGATTGAGAATCCTCATAATTCGACCTTGCCATTTGAACATTTAAATCTTAGATTTTTATTTAACTTATGAAAAAAGTTGTTTAACAAACGATCATAGTTTCAAATCGCTTATATGGGTTGTATTACAAGGGGGTAAGCGCAGTAGTTGGAACAGTGAAACAAATGCATGTGCGGTACGTGATGAGCGTCAACTTAACCTACTTGATCTCGGTGTTTCATTTTATGTGCTTTCCCCCTTGTAATACAAACCAATAATACCGATTTGAAACTATGATCGTTTGTTAAACAACTTTCATCCCAAGTTTAATAAAATAAAGAGATTTAAATTTTCAAATGGCAAGGTAAAATTATGAGGATTCGCAATCTTAATTTCGCTTTATTTGATTTACTTTTTTTGTTTAAAGTGAAATTCATTGGTACGTTTTCACCGCAAACAGACTATAATTGAGATAGGATGACATGGGTCAACCAAGCCTGACCACCCAATCCCATAAGTCACCTCTTACAACAAGCATGGGTTGGTGAAGATCAATTATTCTAACTGGATCTCCATGGGTATGCAGACATGAAGATATCTATTTGATCAGCAATGTGTGTTCTTCACAATTGATATCAACAAGTAAAGGTGAACTAAATTCATGTTTGATGCATACTGCATGTCATTCCAAGGAAGCATTGAACAGACATGAGGTCATTATTTCACAAATTATGTTCAGTCTCTTTAGAATTACGATGCTACAATGTTTCAAAGTTGAAAATGTGTACTACTTTATATCTACCAAAAGCCCACAGCTGTGTATCATATTTATTAATAACTTGTTTTCCTTAATGGAACAGGAAGGTGGTATAGGTGGAAATGTTTCATCTGATTTTAACAATTTGTGTTCACTTATGTTTGCTGATGATGTTTCTGCACTTGCTGATACTTGTAATCAGTTACAACAGAAGATAAATGCATTTGAATGTTTTTGTAAACAAACTGGAATGTCAGTTAATCTTAGTAAAATAAAAGTTCTTGATTTAGAAATGGTGGGCCATTACGGGAATATGAAAAGTGACGGATAACTGCTTTGAGTGGCATTTTAGAAGTTGGGAAGTACAATACAGAACAAACTTTATGGATAACAACTTCTTTTATTCGTGAGTGCACTCATGAATAAAAGAAGTTGTTTTCCATAAAGTTTGTTCTTTATAAGAAAAGTGGTTCTATAATGGCAATCCTATTGAAACTGTATCCTTTTATAAATATCTAGGACTTGTATTTACACCAAAGCTTGCATGGAGTAAAGCGCAAAGCTGTCTGGTATCTCAAGCTAACAAGGCGATATTTTCTGTAAATGGTTTTCAAAAAAAGAAGGGAAGAGTAAATTGTAAAGACTTATTTAAGATTTTTGACTGTACGGTTTCACCTATTTTGTGTTATGGGTCTGATAATTTCATATCATTGTTTAAGCAGAGACTTACGGATAATCTTAAACAATGTTGGTCCACTTCAATTCAAAATTCTAATAAGTGTTTTTATTACTCACAATTTAAGACATTTTTAAATGTGGAAAGGTATTTAAATTCTGATATTCCTTTACATCTCAGATCTGCACTCTCTAAATTTAGATGTGATCATTTTAATTTAGCTGTTGAAATTGGAAGATACAATAAAGTTAATTACAATTGAGAGATGATACTTATTTTGTAAATTGGATGACAAAAATGTTATTGAAGATGAATTCCATGTACTCCTTAAGCGTGAATGTTTTTCTGATTTAAGGTTAAGATATATTCAGAAATATTTGAGTGATTTTGATCCAAATGCCAATTTTATTAATATTATGAACACACATAATGATTGTATCATAAGAGATGTCAGTATTTTTCTGTATCATGTACTTCAGCATATTAGAAATGTTCCTCTTACACAGCTAGTGCACTAAACTATCTATATCATATGCAAATGACTGTATGATGGGCCTGTGGCCTTTTACTGAATAAACTTGTCTGTCTGCTATAACCTCCAAAAGGGTTGTCTATGATGTCTCAAAATGGATATTTCATCTGCATTAATTATGGAGGTTTTCCAAAACAAGAACGAGTATCTGTAAACCAAAAGAGCATATGTAACTGTTTGTTTTTAAGGTGTCTAGAGGCGTCAGATTTTCTATTTTTATGCAGTAAACAGGATATATTGAACCATCTTATTCTAAAAGGAACAACTAAAAGACTCCGTAAACTTATCCTTTCTCTGTGGAGATAAGAAATTATAGAGCTGAACCAGGACAATCTAGTTGTATAAGAATTAACTCGTCGTTGATTATTTTTGTTTTCAATTTTTTCATCCTTGTCATGTACGCTGTTATCTCAATATTTACTTGTTTTACAGATTGTACGGTTGCAAAATAAATCTCTGTGCGGGAGATTTATGGCCAAAAAGAAACAAATGGGGAAAGATGTGCTTGAGAAGAAACTGTGGCACTGCTGTCAGGCTAGTACCGACTGCATCATTCGTATCAACAACCATGGTACTAACCTCAACTATTGTCGCAACAACAATGGAGGTAGGTTTGTCACGCAGCAGCATCATGTTTGTCTCTCAAATGAAAAGTTTGTCATTTTGCAATATATTCAAACCACCTCTCTTCCAACTGTTAAGTAAAAGCGGACCTTTGGATCTCTCTGAAATGTGTCGGGGCGTTGGGGTAGTCTTGTGGTTAAATCGTCACTCGTCACGCCAAAGGCCTGGGTTTCATTCCCTACATTGGTATTGTGTGTGAAGCCCAATACTGGTGTCCCCGCTGTGATATTGCTGAAATATTGCTAAAAGCGATACTAACTCGTTTATTATTCAGCAGAACTGATCTGAGTGAGGTTTCGACATGGTGCTGTGTCCATAAGCATCTGTCAGCCCATCACCTGTTTGTCCATTACTCATTAAGTCTGTGAGGGTGCACATCAGGGTTGACAAGGCCTTGAATTTAGACTTCATCTTGAAAATAGCTTAAATCTACATTTGACCTGAAAAATGACAATAAGACGTGAACAGACCTTGCATAAATATATGCTTATGACTGACTGAGTTTGGTTTTACGCCGCTTTTAGCAATATTCCAGCAACATCACGGCGAGGGACACCAGAAATGGGCTTCACACATTGTACCCATGTGGGGATTCGAACCCGGGTCTTCGGCGTGACGAGCCAACGCTTTAACCATTAGGCTACCCCACCGCCCCATATATGCTTATGAATGTATGTAACACTGATGTATGACAATGAGTTACTGAAGCTGTTTAACGAAATATGTGTCATATATGTGATGATTGCTTGAATTGCCATTGATCTATCAAATGAATGGCGCAGCACTTCCATGATGAGTTATAACTAGGGGTGGGTATTGCAAAGAATTTTCATATTGCGATATATTGTGATGCGAAAGCATGTATTGCGATATGTATCGCAATATATTGCAGGACGTTAATGCTTGATTTATACAGCAAAAACACAACAAAATCACTATGCCTGCTTAAGCTTGAATAAAAACTACTTTACCATTGCATATTCTACATACCGCGTTACTCTTACCAATAGTTCCATCTACCGTGAACTTTTTCAACCCAAAATGCTGCCTTACCGATGCCTTTGCCCTAGTATTTGGCACCACATTATATTGTTCGTTGTTGGGGGTCACCATTTTACAACACATGCATGGCTTCTGGTGTAAAAAGACCGCCTCCGTGGTGTTGTGGTTAGAGCGTCCGCCCGGAGAGTGGAAGGCCGCGGGTTCGATCCCCGGCCGCGTCTAACCAAAAGACGTGTAAATATGGTACTTGTTTGTCCCTGCCTGACGCTCGGCATTAATAGGTACAACAAGGACTGGTCAGCTCGGGGTCAGTATAATGTGTCTGAGTGGGGTATTCATGCTTCACTGCGGCATGGTATCTCAGTGGGCTAGCACTATAAAACCAGCTTAAGTCTGGGCTAGTGCAAGCAGCCGCACATACACATACACACGCATGCACGTCGTCATATGAGCAAAATATTCTCAAGCACGACGTAAAACCCAATTTCACCTCACCTCACCTCACCTCACCGGTGTGAAAAATGGAAATATCCGAAGATTTTTTTGTGTTACCAAGTTTTCCGAATGCATGTCAAAATACCGGTTTTCGATCAACGTATCGCAATACGAACCGGTTATATTGCGCAGCCCTAGTTATAACCCTATATCATGTCACAACACTGAATGTTTTCATCTTTTTTCGGTTATTTATTTCATAGTATTTAAATAAAGTGTCTTGAAAAAGTATGAAAAGGCCTTAAATTTGTTCAGGACATATGTATGTGTGCCATTCCAGTTCTTCTCAGTACAACATCTTGTTTTCCAGAGCCTCTTGGTGAAGGCATCTACTTCTGTGAAGCCTTTGACCACACTGCCACAACATCCACAGATGGTTCTCAGTATGCCTGTCTCTGCCGTGTGTTAGTTGGTGTCTTTGCCAAAGGAAAACCTGACCTTCGAGATCCCCCGTCTCGACCATCTGATGACAATTCCTTCTGTCACTCAGTGGTTGATGATGTTCAGAATCCGTCAACATATGTGATCTTCAGTGATGCCCAGGTCTACCCAGAATATCTTGTGACCTACAAAATCAACAAGGAATAGGAACAATGTGGGTAACATGAGTAAAACATGCGAACTTTTGACATGACCACAACAATATTATTGAATTGTTCTCTGTACATAATGTGCACTGCATATTTGCTGTGGTTTTCAAACTTTGAATGTTAAACTTTGCTTCAATTAATGCTTTGATATGTACATGGATATGCAAAACTTTAAGAGTTAGTGAGTTTAGTTTTACTCCGCTTTTAGCAATATTCCAGCAATATCGCGGAGGGGGACATCAGAAGAAGGGCATTCACATTGCACATGCTTCTCCATAAATTATCACCGTCACCCCCCTGACCATAAATTATGAATGATCCCTTAGTGGGATTTCTCCATGCACGTTTTACTTTTAGCATGGACGTTCTGTCTGGTTTGTTGAATGAATAGGAACATGAACTGTACAGTTCAGGACATGTCCTTTCTGCAGTATGATTGTCTAGTGGAACAATATGGCCTAAATTTGTTTCTGCCTGCCTTATGATTGTATACAGATTATCATGAATGGTATGCAGGTTGTAAAGATTATAATCAAATACAACATCCTGTTTCATTCTGTGGCAAATATTTTGTAAAATTTGGAGTTGTGTTACGTTTTGGTTATCAGATTGCACCCAAAATACAGCCATTTTTTCTGTTTGCTATTCAGCAGTATATACTGTTTTATGTGATGTTGTGTTTGTTATCCAGTGATATTGTTATGCTATTCAAGTTATTTTTTCTAAATATTGATTACATTTAAAGCAATATAAATTGTACTAAGGGACTTTACATTTTATGGCTAGGGGATGTAATGATGATTTAAAGGGGGAATCACCATTTTGTGATTTATTTTTTTTTTGGGGGGGGGTCATCAATTATGTACATGGTTCCCAAATAATATAGTTTTTCTTTCAAAGTGTCGACAGATGCTGTTTTGGGCTCACCTGTATCTTTGATAACATTTTCACTTGTGTACTGTCTCTACAAACAGCTCATCTTAAACATTGAACAATACTGAATGCGTGATTGTTTATCACTGGAGTTATGTTTTGACATGTAAATCATGTATAACGTTTAAACATGTTTTAGATATTGCAGAGAAATTCATTCCATCGATAATTCAGATGATGTAGTCAGTAGATTCATCCTGACAAGTGCAGATGTATTGTGCCTAGCTTACTTGGTATTTGTTTGCTGAAAGAAAAATACAAGTATTTTCTACAGCATAAAAGAAAATTGCCTGCCTTTCTGCAACAAATTATTGTTGTGTTTGCTTCAAGTTGTTTTGTTTGACATGGTAAACATAGTTTATTAGCTATAAATATTTCCTTCACATGTATTTACTATAGTTGTGATATGTTTGATGAAAAAAGAAAGTCACCTCAAAATTAGGAACAACTGATAAGTTTGTTTGACAAAATTCCTGATTACTTTTGGAACGTCATGGCATAGATGATCTGTTGAATGAATAGTAACATGACCTGTTTGGCGTTTTTATATTTTTGTTACTTGTTCTGGATTTTAAATTTCATTTGTGTTTTATGTAGTAATTTATGTTATAATTGGTGTTTTCATGCATTGTGTTTAAATTAGCATTTTAATTAATTTCATTTGTGAATTTTATTATATATACATTTGTTTTAGGTAAATAACTGAATAAGCAGTATTTCAGGAATTAATTATGAATATTTCTAACTGAAATAAACAGATGTGTTAAACATGTGATACTTTGGGATTAGATATACTTACAAAAAAAACTTGTTTTGTTTAATAGAGAATGTTATGATATTGCTAACTGACATGTGCTATTGTTGAACTTTGCTTTCCTCCAATGCTTTCCCTCTAGCCTTTCCTTTTATCCTTTCCTTTTATCCTTTTCTCCTATCCTTTCCCTCTATGCTGTGCTGTGCCTACTTCTATCCTTTCCTTCTATCCTATCTTCCTGTCATTTCCCTCTATCCTATCCTGTCCTGTGCTTTCCCTCTACCCTGTCCTTCTTGCTTTCCTTCTATGTTGTTCCTCTATCCAGTCTGAGTGGGGCTTTCCTTCTATCCTGTTCTCCCTCACTATCCTGTCCTTCTTGCTTTCCTTCTATCCTTTCCCTCTATCCAGTCCCGTGCTTTCCTTCTATCCTTTCCCTCTATCCTGTCTTGCTTTGCTTTCCTTCTATCCTTTCCCTCTATCCAGTCCCGTGCTTTCCTTCTATCCTTTCCCTCTATCCTGTCCTGTGCTTTTCTTCTATCCTTTCCCTCTATCCTATCCTTCTATCCTTTCTTCCTACCATTCCCTCTATCCTCCTATGCTTTCCTTCTATCCTTTCGTCTGTCTTTTCTTCTATGCTTTCCTTCTGTGGATCTCTGCCATGGAAAAGCTGATTGCCTGATATAGTACATAGCCAAATATTCAATGTTTATTGAAATAGATTATAGCGAGACAAAACACACTGATTGTTGATGTTTTAAATTGAAAGAAGTGTCCTGTAATGACACATTTTACTATATGATATAGCCTTTCATAGCCAAAATCATTGGATTCTGGAACACAAAGTTGGTGAATGGATTTGAAATAAAAAATGTAAATGGGGTGTTTTTGTACAGATGTTTATTGAAATAGATTATAGCAAGACAAAACACACTGATTGTTGATGTTTTAAATTGAAAGAAGTGTCCTGTAATGACACATTTTACTATATGATATAGCCTTTCATAGCCAAAATCATTGGATTCTGGAACACAAAGTTGGTGAATGGATTTGAAATAAAAATGTTAATGGGGTGTTTTTGTACAGATGGTAGAACATGAAACACATGATAAGCATCATAGCACCTGGGTTATATGAGTAAACAAATGAGGAAGACACAGGAATAAAGTCTGGACATGTTCATTCTACCCTACTTCACAATGAAAGAAAGTTTCCATTTTGAAAATTTCAAAATGGCTGCATTGAGAGTTATCAAACTTGAGACAGGCCAAACAGAGATGTTTATGGCTCCTGATTGTAGGAGATCGAAAGTTGATGTAATGCTTCAGATTTTGTGATAGGATTGTTGCTGTCAATTTCTTTAGAATTATATACTGCACTAACTTTGGTTGAATCCTTTGAAAGGTCAAGGTTATGGATAGTTCACAGAAGGAAAACCAAGTTATATGGATAGTCAACTTCTTTATTGCAATGAGTGCGACTTTTCAGTGTAGGTACTAACACCGTTATCAAGCAAGTGATACAAAGAGGTGCAACATGTATAATATATACATAGCTGCATAGCGTGTATATACAATTGACTAGGTTGATATACATTGGATTGCTAATTAGTGATTTGAGCAGTGTAGGTTGATGTACAGAGTGATAGTGATTAAAACAATATGCAGAATGAGTTTATACCATAGAAGAGTTGATGTACACTGAGATGGTAATTGTGAGTTGAAGAGAGTAGGTTGATGTACACATTGATTGGTTGTGATTACAATACACAAAAGGGAGCAAAGAATCCAATTGGACGAGGTTGTGATAGGATGAGGAGATAAAATAACCTTGATCCCGGTTCATGGTGGGGTTGAAGCGTTGGATTTTTATGGCTTCAAGAAGCTTCCTCATCTTGTAGTCTGATCGGTTGGTTTCCAGGATGTGGATGTTGTCCCAAAGGATGGCATGGTCAGGGTTGGCTTGGGTGTGGTCGGCTATGGCGGATTGGGAGTCTTTTTTCTGGAATGAAGTTTTGTGTTCTTTAATTCGTAAATTCGTAGTGGGAGAGGGCGGGACGATTCTCCTATGTAAGAGTCTCCACATTGGCAATTGATCTGGTAGACTACTCCTGTGGGGTCTTCTTTAGTTCTTGATGGGGGTTTGCCTGTGGCTTGGAGGAGGTTTGGGTGGACTTGTGTTTCTGGAACAGAATGTCTATACCTGCTTGCTGATGCAGTAGTGGTCTCGTCTGGTGGCTGACTGCTGGGACATACAGGATACTTATTGCCGACGGGGTGGTGATTTATCTCTTGGGTTGAGGGTGGATCTGATGCCGATGTTAACTAACTTCTGGGGGTACTTGTTATAATGGATGAAGACATGGCGGAGGAGGTTTAATTTTTAGTTCGATTTCTAGGGCTTCTGTTGTCGAGCAGATGTTCTTGGCTCTTCGGGTAGGGGTGAAATGATGCCTTTCTTAACCTGCAGAGGGTGATTGGAGGTGAAGTGGAGATATTGGTCGGTATGAGTGGGTTTCCTGTAGACAGTGGTGGAGAGCTTGTTTTCTTGCTTCTGCACCAGGACGTCGAGGAAAGTGAGTTTCTTATCAGATTATTCTTCCATTGTGAACTGCATACGGGGATGTTGAGAATTGAGGTGGTCGTGGAGGTATTCAGGATCGGCGTCGGGGTTGAGGACTACAAAGGTGTCGTATGGTTCTCTGTACTAGCATATTAGAGTGATGGGGGATGTCAGCAGGGCCTTATCTTCAAATTCTGTCATGTATATCTCAGTGATGATAGGGGAGATAGGTGAACCCATGGGTAACCCATGGGTTTGCTGAAAGATCTTGTCAGACCAGGTAAAATAGGTTGACCTGATTTTCCCAGAAGTGTGTTAACAACATCAACCTACACTGCTCAAATCACTAATTAGCAATCCCATGTACATCAACCTAGTCAATTGTATATACACACTATGCAGCTATGTATATATTCTCCATGTTACAACTCTTTGTATCACTTGCTTGATAAGGGTGTTAGAACCTACACGGAATTAGCTCTCATTGCAATAAAGAAGTTGACTATCCATAGAACTTGGTTTTCCTTCATCTATACAACTTCTAAAATGCCTCTCATAGAAGATAGTTCTCAGAGTTGTAAATGATTCAGTGCTAAAACTGTGACAAAGTCTATGTACTTTTCTCTATAACTACTAGCATTAAATGTGCAGGAAATTCAGTTTATGAAAATCCATACATGAGAATGTTGAGACCATTATCAAGCTTAACCCTTCCTAGCCCAAATATTATCCATAAAAGGTGAGCTTTTGTACCTTTAGTTCTTAATTTTAAAATTTTATGCTTAACTTAAATACATGACACTTTTATGGATAACAACTTCTTTTTATTCTTTACAGGACGTTTCAGAGCTAATGCTTGCTGCTTCTTCAGGTGAATACTGAGTCAGTACAAAGAGTGAATATATATAGATAAAACATGTTTACACAATGCAAGGAGGGACAATGTACAAAGATAACAATATAATTACGTAGCCAACAATATAATCACGAAGCCAATAAGGTTGGATTAATGCATTAAGAAAACAATGTATTGTGTACACAAATGTGGGGGTGGAGTGATGTACAGAGTATACACTGGGAAGGTAAATGCCAGGATAACAGAACACAAGACCTCTGTAGAAAAATCTGACATGAAATCTGCCCTTTCGGAACACCTCATCAAAAATCCCGACCACCATATTTCCTGGCAACAAACCCAGATTCTACACACCAACATCAACTACTGGAAGAAGCGGAAACTTCAAGAAAACATTGAGATCAAGAGAAAGAAGCCAGCCATTAACCGGGACCAAGGCATTAACCTTCCCAGTGTATACTCTATTGTTCTATAAATCTCCTGGCGTCATCCGTTCATCGTTTTCTTTAATCCTATCCAATTGGTTTCCTATTGTGTTGTTATTCTTGTACATCACTCCACCCCCAAAGGAGTGTATTTGTGTACACAATACATTGTTTTCTTAATGCATTAATCCAACCTTATTGGCTTCGTGATTATATTGTTGGCTACGTAATTATATTGTTATCTTTGTACATTGTCCCTCCTTGCATTGTGTAAACATGTTTTATCTATATATATTCACTCTTTGTACTGACTCAGTATTCACCTGATGAAAGAGCAAGAATTAGCTCTGAAACGTCCTGTAAAGAATAAAAAGAAGTTGTTATCCATAAAAGTGTCATGTATTCATGTTCGTCCAACTTCTAATTATAAATGCCTTTCAAAAACTTAATGAATAACTTACAAAAAATTCCACTTGTCAAAGATTTAAGCATCACTATTTTCAAGACAATAAATATATTCCAGTCTTCCTGTGTTTGTCTATATGTTTGTCACTAACCATGGCATGCACTGGCCCGCTAGGTCGTGGCTAGTAAAAACCTAGTCGGGCCAGTAAATCTTCACAGTTACTGGCCCGACTGGCTAGTGAAATTTCATGGGGTCATTTTATAGATATATCACACTCTCCCGACTTGTTAAGTTATGACACACATTTACATAATGCAAGATTATGCCTGATTAAAATGTTCATTATATTATCAGCTAAATGATGAAATCCGTGTCTACATTCAAGTTTGGGGCAAGTAAATTGTTTTGTGGGCTAGTGACTTTCAGGCATAGGTGGCCCGACTGGCTAGCAAAATTTGGAAACTATTTCGCACACTGGCTACAAACAATACATTTTTTGCACCAGCTCCGATCTTTGCTGTCTCCGCTTCACAACTTTTAAGCTGTAGTCCATTAAGCCTCCAACAATTGTTCAAAGTGCGCCATGCACTTGTTAAAAAATTGTCTGACTTAAGAGGCACACTACTTCATAAACGCAATAATAATGTCTTCACCGACTGGTTTTGAATCACTAACACTAGAAAATCTGAAAATGTATGAGGGAATGTAGTTTTCCGCTGATTTTATAAATGTTCCAGAAATATTAACATGAGTGACACCAGAAACAAATTCCACACAGACCCTATTATGAGAAAACAAACCTGGGTCATCGGAATGACCAGCGAATGCTTGTAAAAACTGAAAGTAATTTGAGAGAGAGAGTGTGTGTGTGTGTACTGTGATGTCAATGTCTTTGATATCAGCATGTGATATTACGTAACGAGTCATCCCTTCAACGAAAGAATTCGTTCATTTCACTTAAGTGTTCGAGGGGCGGTGGGGTAGCCTTGTGGTTAAAGCCTTGGGTACAATGTGTGAAGCCCATATTTCTGGTGTCCCCCGCTGTGATGTTGCTGCAATATGGCTAAAGGTGGCGTAAAACTAAACTCACTCACTCATTCAAGTGTTTTCGGATACACCTCGACATCAAGTTATGTCGACAACAAAATATTTCACTTTCGCGCAATTCCATCTATGGAAGGCTCAGAACTTACCAGTCAACCCTCTAATTACACCAATATTAATATCATAACACTGAAGCTGTGATTGACGACACACATGTGACCTCAAACAAACACATAAAAGGTGGCTGGTCAAGGACAAAGTAGCGAACTTTCAACCGTGTCTACAAAACCGAAAGCGAAATTAAGATTTCTGGGAAAAGAGGTTTAGGACTAGCTCCAAGAAAATGAACGCTGGTTGTGCAACATGTCAGGAAAATATCGCACTGTGGTAAGAGTTGTGTGTACGATTCACCTGTGTTTATATTTTAATCAATAAGCTTAGTCGAAAATAATGTGGCACTGTGAACTATAGATATAGGTAATTACGTGGTATGTCCGAGATCGGTCAGCAATTCTAGTCCTGTCACGCACTCTAGATCTGTGTATGGATCAGGGTTTGTATACAGCTCCTGAAAATATTACACTCATGTCACTAACCACCCTGGGGCGGTGGGGTAGCCTAATGGTTAAACCGTCCGCTCGTCACGCCGAAGACCCGAGTTCGATTCCCCACATGGGTACACTGTGTGAAGCCCATTTCCGGTGTCCCCCGCCGTGATGTTGCTGGAATATTGCTAAAGCGGCGTAAAACCATATTCACTCACTAACCACTTTGCCTACTACCGTAAGTTGAAGACTTGGGTAAGATCAACGCAATTTGGTACGTTTTCTTTTGAGACAATTACTGTTTAAAAGCTTGCATTAGCCATGTGTTTATGAACCTGGTATTGATCTCATTAAACAAGATATTAATGAAATGTTATTTGTAACATAGCGTCGGATTTAGGACTATATGGTTTTTAAGTTGTCTCTTAAAAATGAGTTTCCTCAAACTCGATGTCATTGGACTTCAAATGCTGTCATGATCGCGAAAGTACCTGTAGGTTATGCTTGAGACGATCACGAATAGAGGCAAGGTACTTTGAGGTAGTAGTAGGCACGTTTTGCTAGAAAACGTATGAGAAAGCATGGTGGTACGTAGGGCCTAGTGATGTAGCCTAGTGGATAGAGCGTTTGCTCGTCACGCAAATGACGCGGGTTCGGTTCCCAACATGGTATTGCTGTAACATTGCTAAATGGCGTAAAGCTGCTGTTTTCGCAAGCTGTAAATTAAGAATAACTGTTGATATTTATGTACTTGTTTCCTACTTTTGAGAATATAACGAATATGCTTTTTGTATTCATATACAATTCAGCATCGATTCCTTTCCTCTTGACAGACTCTGTATTTCTTTTAGGTAAAAAACTGATTTTCAATGAGTGGTAACGAAGCAATAGAAGACAAAGGACACGGAGATGGTAGTAGTGAAACACATCCTAACAAGCAAGAAGAGTCGGAGCCTTATCGTCCACAAACCGACCCTGTCTCTCCTCCTCCTAGTGGGCAGCAGTTGTGTTATTGTGGCAGTGTTCCGCCACCCACCCACCCCTATGGTATCGTGTGTGTGCAGTATCATATCACTCCCACAATAGACAGTCAATCACGGTCTGATCATCCTACTAATGGTGGACGTCGAGCGTCAACGGAAGACACAGGGCATCAAGGAACTGGTAAAGTCGAAATGCAACACGCCTTACACCAAATGCAGCCTAACCCTCCAGTGCCACAACCATGGGGTGGCTATCCTCACAGTGGGTATCTGCCAGTGCCACCGTTTTGTTACTGTGGCAATCTACCACCACATCATCACCCTGGTGGTATGGTATATTTGCCATATCCCAACATACGTCTTGCAGACAATCGGTCAGCGCCTGACCACCCTACCCACGGTGGACAACATGCAGTATCAACAGAAGGCAAGGGACATCACGGAGCTGGTAAAGTCGAAATGCAGCACACCGGGCAACAGATGCAGCCTAACCCTCCAGTGCCACAGCCAGAGTATGGCTATCCTTACTGCGGATATCCGCCAGTGCCACCGTTCTGTTACTGTGGCAATATACCACCACATCATCATCCAAATGGTATGGTATATATGTCATATCCCAACAGGCCTCCTGCGGATTGTCAGTCAAGAACAGAGTACCCTACTCCTGATGCACAGCTCCCATCAATAGAAGACAACGGGCACCATAGAGCTGGTAGAAGCCAAATGCAATTCGCCACACAACAAATGGAGCCTATTCCTCCAGTGCCACAACCATGGAGCGAAAATCCTCACAGTGAGTATCTGCCAGTGCCATCGCTCTGTTACTGTGGCAACCTACCACCACATCATCATCCAAATGGTAGCGTGTATGTGCCATATCCCAACAGTCCTCCCGCAGGCAGTCAGTCAAGATCTTACCACCCTAATCATGGCGGACAACATCCAGCATCCATGGAAGACAAAGGACATCAAGGAACTGGTAAAGTCGAAATGCATCACGCCTTGCAACAAATGCAGCCTAACCCTCCAGAGCCACATCCATGGAATGGCTACCCTCACTGTGGGCATCTGCCATTACCGTTATGTTACTGTTGCAATATACCACCACATCATCACCCTGGTGGTATGGTATATTTGCCATATCCCAACATACGTCCTGCAGACGATCGGTCAACGCCTGACCACCCTACTCATGATGGACAACATGCAGTATCAGTGGAACAGAAGGGACATCAAGGAGATGTTACAAGCCAAATGGCTCACGCTACACAACCTATGAAGCCTAACCCTCCATGGCCACAACCATGGAGAGCTTATTCTCACAGTGGGTATCTGCCAGTGCCACCCTTATGTTACTGTGGCAACCTACCACCCCACCGTCATCCTGATGGTAGCGTGTACGTGCCATATCCCGACAGTCCTCCCGCAGGCAGTCAATCAGGATCTGACCACCCTAATCATGGCGGACAACATCCAGCGTCCATGGAAGACAGAGGACACCAAACAGCTGGAAAAGTCGAAATGAAACCCGCCATACAACAGATGCAGCCTCATCCTCCAATGCCACAACCATGGCATGGCTATCCTCCCTGCGGATATCAGCCATTGCCACCTTTATGTTACTGTTGCAATATACCACCAAACCCTGTTGGTATGGCATTAATGTCATATCCCAACAGGCCTCCTGAGGACAGTCAGCCAAAAACTGAACACCCCAATCTTGACGGACAACCCTCGGCTTCAGTGGAAGACACGGAACATCAACGAGTTGTTACAAGCCAAATGAACCACACCACACAACCTATGCAGCCTCACAATGGATATCAGCAATTGCCACCTTTTTGTTACTGTGGCAAACTACCGCCACACCATCCTGATGGCATCATGCATGTGCCATATTCTCACATGCCCCCTACAGACGGTCAACCTTAATCGTACTATAAATCTGCACGTCTACGCAATGCAGTGCTGTGAAATTATTTAGGCCACGCCCATTACGTCCCCTGAAAAGATTCAGTCACCCTTGTCCGAGCGGGGATGCTGGGTGCTCTTGTACAAAACAAACCTTAGAGCTAAGGCTACCTGAAGTCTATGTTAAGGTATTGGAGTTACGGTGACTTAGCGCTAAGATCGCTTTGTACAACGGCACCCAGGTCGATGTGATCTCTCCTACAGGATGGGGAGCTTTGCGAAATGTGAACAAGCTTTTATAGCTTTGAACGTGAAAATTATAATATGATTTCCCTTCATTCCTTCCTCGATGAGTCAGGTCTCTGTGTCTGGAGCGGTGGTGTAGCCTAGAGATTAACACGTTCGCTCGTCACAGCGAAGACCAGGGTTCGATTCCCCACATGGGTACAATGTGTAAAGCCATTTCTGGTGCCCCGCCCCCAATCGTGAATATTACGGCATGGAATAATGCTAAAGACCCGGCGTACAACCACTCGCCCCACGCCAGGATATCTGTGCTAAAAGCAGACACAAGCATCACTCATCAGAACTTCACTTCACGTTTTTGTTCCTTGTTTAAAGTTCATGGTTATAAATCTCGCCGAATTATTATGTTGGAAATAGAATATACTTGTTTGGTTGTGAATCATGCAGTTCCTCGTGTTTACTGTGGTTCATGAACATGAGTGAACCAATGCACCTAGCATATGAACCATTAAGACTATGAACTGCGATAAGTGAACCTGTATTTGACACACAAATGACGCTTTTTAATAGCACAGATCACACCTAGATTCATGACGGTTTTATACCGACTGGAAACGTTCAACTCCTCGATATGCAATAGTTATTCTACATCAGCACTTGAGCACAATTATCTCTTTGAATTTATTTTGTATTTATGTGTATATAAAAATTAGTTTGTCAAAATAAAGCCCCCAGAAACATCAGTTGTTACATCTCTTTATTACACCATACATAACGACAAACATGGATTCATATTCTTCGGCTTGGTGACTATATGGGGGCATTGCGAGTCGACAGTCGCATGCGTTGAAGTAGATTTGCCTTGACATACATACCCCAGACTTCGCATGAGGGTATGTTCCCATTCGACAGATGTGCCTGTAGCTGAGTCTGCCATACAGATCCTGAAGCAGATGTGTCCAGTACAGCCCATGCAAATCTATTATATATTATTATTAATATTATTATTATTATTGGATATTTATATAGCGCACATATCCACGCACTAGTGCATGCTCAAGGCGCTGATATATGGCCTGTATAGTTTTCGTTTGATTCCAGTTTAACGCCGCACACTGCAGTATTCCAGCTACATGGTGGCGGTCTGTACATAATAGAGGCTGAACCAAACAATCCAGTGATCAACAACATGAGCATAGGTCTACGCAATTGGGATGCAATGGCATGTGTCAACAAAGTCACCGAGCCTGACCATCCGATCCCGTTTGTAGCCTTTTACGACAAGCATGGGTTACTGAAGACCAATAAATTAATTCTAACCCAGATCTTCACGGGTCTGGCATCTATATATTACTGCGGGTGTCTAGCAGTCATGCAAATATGAAAATACATATCTAATACAGCCCGTGCAAGTCTAGAATATGTCGTATGTATGGACTAATGCAGTTTCTGAAAATGAACGCAGTATCTTTGCTATTTTTCAATATATTGTAATCTAAAAATGTTGACAGTTTTCTTCTTTCTGACAATATGTTTACATCAAAGACTAGATGTAAGTCTACAAGTAGGCATATAGAATAGCACGTAGTTCTGGAACTCGACGTGCGCGAGCAGGTGTCGATGTATATGTAAACTTACAAACATATCACTTACAACTAAACACTTCCTTAATCCAACAACGTAAAATGTCCAATAACTACTGTAACGATCCGGGTTAGTCATGTAAGTGACTGAAACATAATGTAGTATAAATATAATTTAGTGTACAGCACTGCACTAAAAAATACGGAAATATACGAGTCATTGGAAATGCAAGTTAAAGGTTTATAATAAGTTATAAATCCTTGCTAAGGCTAGAAGCTGTTCGGCTACGATTAGAGTGCTGTCCCTTTGTTGTGTTTAACCAATCACTGCCACGCACGTTCCAGCGCATGTCAGACAACTTTGCAGCCGGTAACGGAACTATCCTCTGCCACAGGTGGAAAAGACAAGCATAACAGTTACAAGTCATTCACGACGTCTCATCACAAGCATGCAGTTCGACATCAGGCGGTGAGTGTGGGTTCTTATCAGCTGCAGTCCAATTATTGATGCCGCGCGGCATGCAAATCAATCCTCGCAGCTGGAAAATAATACGATTGTTGGCCAGCTGTCAAAACAGTGCACGTGGACATACCGTTATACCACAGCACAATGAAGCATTGACCGATTGTGGGAGCCCAGATTTTTATCACTGCAATGTCAGAATTTGCCGAGCAATGCTTTTACTGTTGGGGTGCATTGTGATAAAACCTGGTGTCGTCTTTTGAACATTAACCTTCCGGACAGTGTCTTGGTACTGTAAACAGAAGCAATTAGGTTGGGAATAACGACATACTGGCGTCTAATAGTGTACTTTATTCTACATGTAGTCTCGGTATAACACCCCAACAGGAATATAGTTGATAGTCGTTTGACATATAATATGATAACGGTCATGTTAACCTTTATGCAAATGATATATGCAAGTTTTTGTTTGGAACGACAATTAGGGTGGTATATTACCTCTTCATCAGATGAATACTGCTAAATATAACTTATTATATTTGTTTAGGCTGGTCATCAGTACATCACTTATTAGGTTTTGAATACCACTCATTTTCAACAGGCAGATCAAGCCAAAGACCCGGGTTCGAATCCCCACATGGGTACAATATGTGAAGCCCATTTCTGGTGTCCCCCGCCGTGATGTTGCTGGAATATTGCTAAAAATGGCGTAAAACCAAACTCAGTCAGTCAGTCAGTCAACAGGCAGAAATTGTACAATGCTTGCTTTTGTTGTTAACTCGTAAGCCAATTATTCAATTCTGATTTCGGTGAAAAATGTTTTTTCAAAATAATTCTTGGCTCAAAGTGATGAATATTTTCAGACAGTGTATCAGTGTAGTATTCAGTTTAGTCAATTCTTTATTTCCTTGAAAAAGTACATTTCATCAGCGTTTGATATATATTATTAAAAATTTGACAGGGTGGTATGCTGGGCTGGAGAATGTACACAATATGCTGTTTTGGGCAGATTTGTCATATTTTCTCTTAAGTTAATTCAAAAAAATAATGCATCAGAACTGCCTGGGAGTATGTGCGTAATTGTCTCATATCTCTAACACTAACACTCACTTACCAGTGTATGAAATAAGCCAAAAATCCTGCCAGACAAAATGGATTTAACCAGACCAAATATGGTGAATTTACTCAGATGTATGGAACATTTAAAATTTTTACCAGACCATCGGACTGGCTAGCTCTAAATTTAGGCTATCCGTCACGAATCTAGACCGTCTCGGGCGGTTGGACGGGCCTTATTTCATACACTGCACTTACCATAAAACACACCAAGCCAAGGTAACAAATAGATATCAAGAGACATAATATGGTTTCAAAAAGTTGTCACATGATCTTACCTGAATGTGTTTTACTCAGAAATTATGGGGGCGGTTGGGTAGCCTAGTGGTTAAAGCGTTGGCTCGTCACGCCGAAGACCCGGGTTCGAATCCCCACATGGGTACATTGTGTGAAGCCCATTTCTGGTGACCATGATACCATTGGACATAGTCTTAGCAGTGTTTGTATCCATTGAGTCTTGGCGTGTCACTGATAGGAAGTGATTAACTCAGCAGATGCAAAATTATGATAAACATCAAACCATAGGACTAAATAAATAGAAGCTGAACTATCGTCTAAAATCAGTTGTGCCCAGACTGTATTGCAAGTCATGTTGTCTTAGTAGACGTGATCTATGCATTAGGTAGTAGACTTCAGTTGCAAAATATGTCAGTGATTTTTAATGCAGACATAAAATTTTCAGAAGCAAATGTATTTGCATATTGGCCTAGAGCTTATGTTGCTGTTGTTGCTGAAATACAAACTAAAATGTCTGTGTGTAAGATTGATGTTGAAGCAACAACACCCTGTCTTGTAAATTATCTGTCAGTGATCTTGCATCAACCTCCACAGTGAGCCCTGGGGCATGTGTGTGATATACAGATGTGTGATAACACTGCGTCATGGAGAGCTGATACCACAAACTAGCCATGCTTCATCAGTTTTATTGGGAAATTATGTACACTTATTTAAGCTGCTGATGGTAATTGTGACAGCAGGTTGGACATTTACTGGAAGCTGTTCAGTGATGTGTATAATGCTTGTATCAGGATCACAGTTCCGACTGCTGGGTCACGCTGTTTTATTGGTTATCGGTGGCTCTATTGATGACATGGATCTCAGTGTCAAACCTGTTTTAAAGTACCATTATACTGTGTCGACACGGACATCATGCTGTTATTTCGATGCACATGCTGTTGATCACTGGATTGTCTGGTCCCGACTCGGATTATTTACAGACAGCCGCCATATAGTTGGAATGTTGCTGAGTGCGGCGTAAAACTAAACTCACTCACTCATGCCGTTATTAAAACAAGTTTATTGTTTTATGCTACAAGACAAAGAATAGAAATCCTTTCATTTGTAGAGGAATTTTGCTTTCATCATGCACAGTATAGTTTCCATTTACAAAGACTTATTGCCATGAAAATAGAAATATTGTTTGTATTCTGTTATTTAAAAAATGACAAGGCCACCATTTTCATTGTTTTGACACTGACCTGAAAACATGCAGTCATGAATCTCTTGACAGTAAACATGGTAAACAAAATTGTACTTTGTAAAACAAATATCAAAATAATTATTTGTCAAGATGAAACAAACATTATAGGTTCCTTGGAAGAGAAAATTATCACAGGGCATGTTTTCCCAGTGTTTAAATTTCACACATGGTGTTGGAAATAACAAGAACATTTTATGTACAAATCCTGCAAAAGTCTGACGGCTTCAAAGCCTGCCCCAGTGTATTCAGGAACAGCAGCCATAGACACAACTTTAAGTCAAGTCAAGAGCATATGTGTAAACATTATTTCACAGGTTCTGCATTTGTAGCAATCCTGCTCCAGAGAGAGACAAAACTGTTTACCATGTTAAAATGTTCTGTTTATTCAGTTCCAATTTGTAGCATAAGTTTAACTTAAAACAATAAGAACAGGTTCAGAGTTATAGACCTTGAATATTACTCATCCGTTACAACTACCATCAGTGTATTTTTACTTTCCTCAGCACAATGTTTTACTTTTAGTCTTACTTGACGATTCGGGTTAGGATTGGTCTTCAGAAACCCATGCTTGACGTGAGAGCGACTAACGGGATTGGAGGGTCAGACTCGCTGACTTGGGTGACATGTCATGGTAACCCATTTGCTGTTGATCACTGGATTGTCTGGTCCAGACTCGATTGTTTACAGACTGTCGCCATATAGCTGGAATATTGCTGAGTGTAGCGTAAAACTAACTCACTCACTCACTCTATTATGTCTGTGGCAGTATATTTTGTGAACGATGTTTGCATGTTGTGCTTATGTCTACAAACAATACAATGTTGACTGAGATGAATTGTCGATAATGTCTACAGCAATCACCTTGTTGTCGTATCCCTTTATCTACATTGTGCCGCCCTAGCAGGTGTAACTAACTGACACTTAGATACACTTCATCGACAATCGCTGCAACAGGTGGCATGGATTCAAAACTATCTGTGTTCAGATGTTACTGTGTTCAAATCTTGTTGAATCATCTCTAATGACAACTGTTCAAATTGTTTTGCATCTCCATGGCAGGGTTGCAATGTGAAATGAAAAATCAATATATGTTTAGGAGATGTTTGGGATAAATATTGACACATCCAAACATGATGAGCCATCTTTAATCAACCAAATAAGCAATTACTGGCTTCTGAATTTGTACACATGCCATCTGAAAATAGTTTTTTTTTAAATTCATTTTCAAACTATACCGAGAATAAAATCAAAATCAAAACTAAGATGTGAAGCTGTGGAAATGTTAGGCTGAAATAATTGGGAAGACCTATCCATATTTAGAGAAGGTTCATCTGGTAACTGATTTAGGGATATCATAAACATTTGTATTTACAATTAAAGGAAATATTGTTTAGGATATGATGGCACTGCTTTTTAAAGCAAAATAACTATTCCTATTCTGCTCATACAACACTATTAAACTTAGGTTTCACTTGTCAAAAATGACAATGATGTGACCATTTAACTGTCATTTCTGATTTTCACTTTTCAAAATAAGGTACCCGTAACCTTTTTGAGGAAAACAAAATGCATGTTTTCCAAAAGCACATACATCCTGTTTAAAGTAAGAGATAATTTCCATAATGATTTTGTTTTTAAACTAAAAGTACTAAACCAAATTATGATAGGGGTTTTTTTTGTGAAAGATTTACTATGAGACAACCTATATTGGCAAAATATACTGGGTGGTGCTTAACTTTTTCTTCACAGTATAGATTTTTAAAAGAGCATATATCACACTGCAGGGTTTTACGTGACACACTCCAGTACGCACAAATGTGGAGAATGGATACAGAAACCCACAAATACTGTGTACGAGGCGACACCTAAGTACCAACCATGCATCAGGACTAGTTACCCGTATCTGTAATTTCACCCATCAGTCATGACAACTGTCCACATGCGTGGACTCTAAAGTAATTTCGATGCTCATGCTGTTGATCACTGGATTGTCTGGTCCAGACTCGATTATTTACAGACTGCCGCCATATAGCTGGAATATTTCTGAGTGCGGCGTAAAACTAAACTCCCTCCTCACTCACTGAAGTAATTAACTGAACCTACTCTACACTACATCATGTCAATACTTTACAGGACACTAATGAGCAAGGACCCGTAACATTTATTTATTACCTTTGTAAGTTAAGGTAAAGTCTGGGGCCTAGATTTTTTAAGCTATCTTAGAGCTGAGATAGTCGTAAGTTATTGTTAATATATGGTGCTTACGACCATCTTAACACTAGCAGAGCTTCGAAAATCTAGGTCCTGGTGCTTTTATCCTGGGATGACATGTCACAGTGCAACAAATATTAGGTGAAGTGACATCACCTCAACCTAGTCTGAAGGTCGGCTTCAGATCATTGGGTATGTTTGCTAGCAGGGTGTGGAGTCATCCCGCTGATGATATCCTTACCGTGTCAGCTTAACCTGTTTGGTCACATGAACAAGATGTCCGATTAGAAGGGTGGTAAGAATTCTAGTATTGGCTGCTACATTGCTAATAAGTGGGGTAGTCTTGTGGTTAAAGTGTTTGCTCGTCACGCCGAAGACCTGGGTTCGATTTCCCACTTGGGTGGGATTTCTGTGAAGGCCATTTCTGTTGTTCCCTGCCACGATATTGCTGGAATATTGCTAAAAGTGGCGTAAAACCGATAAAAGGTGTATGTATCGTGATACGTATCGTATAGCAGGTAAAATATTGCGATACGTATCGTGTCGTGACATAGTGTATCGTCCCAGCCCTAGACATTTTCTGACCCACGATCACCATTTGTCAGTCATCCCTCGCAATATTCTTAATACAGTGACTCTTTTTAATCAGAAATATAATGACAAAAGTAAGCTGATGGAATACAGTTTCACCTGTGGACGTACAAAATTCATCATTTTGTTAGTGCCGAATGTAATATACCGGTCATTCTGCCCTGGGCAGCAAGTATATATTTTGGGCAACATACACGATCAAATACTCTGAATACTTGACTATCATCCCAATGGCCCAAGATGAGTAAATAAATCAAAATATTTTCATAATCGGCTAGAAGTGCTTTCACTGTAGAAGAAAATGGCCTGTCACTAAGTTGGATAAGGTAGCCTCTGTATCATGTGGCGACCATGATGGTTGCGATTCGACTGCATTCTTTGATTTGAGAAACTGATTTATCCTGAAATTGCTTGAGTGGTTTCTTTCCTGTCAATGTATATTATAGTTTGCTCTGTGCAATTCATAAGCAATTGTGTGTACATCCACCTGGAGAGTGCGTGGGTGTGTATAAAAGTGGGTGGGTGGGTGTAAAAGTGTATGTGGGACTACAATCATGTAAAGTGTGTTATCTGTCTGTGGACAAGCCTTTCTTTATCTGTTCTCATACTCACCATGCAGTTATTTTATGAATCGGGATTTCTTTTGACGGCTTTTGTCTCTTTACAGGCTTTTTTAGGTTATTGTACAGACAGTTGCATGCACATGGTGTTTATTGATTGAAAACATCTGTGGTGTGTACAGGGCGTATATGAAGAGAATCGATTCACAAAAAATATATACATGATTGTAACACTTACAGGTAACAGATGTTCAAAGTTGTTTAAAATGGTAGGTGTATGCCGAACTGAGTATTGTTTTCTCTATTTTTTACCAGGAATATTTTAGGTTTTCTCAGAGAGTGCTAATTTGCTCAACTTCTATCATGTCTATTACTAGGGCTGCGCAATATAACCGGTTTATCGGTATTTACCGGTTCAGAAATGAAATTGATATGTATTGTTATACACTGATCGAAAACCGGTATTTCGACATGCATTCACAAAAACTTCGTAACACTAGGAAGTCTTCGGATATTTCTGTTTTTCGCACCGGAAGTCAAGTTAAGTTCGGTTTGAAGTTGTGTTCTTAATTTTTGGTTAAGTGTTTCGCAATGTTTTGGTTCTGAATGTTTTAAATGTTTAGTCATTAATGACCAGTGATCTCTGATATGTCCTGACCAGGTCAAGTTGCTGTCTAAAATCTCAGGTCTCTTTTTGAAAGTGAAGAAACTAGTTCAAACTATTAACCACTGTGTTGATGTTAAATTGTTCTTTTCCTTGTTTCATTTGTGCCAAATATTATTTATATTGTCATGATTAAAAGTTTTTATTAAAGCTTAATCAGGTATAGTGATTTTGTTGTGTTTTTGCTTCATAAATGAAGCATTAACTCTGTTATGAGTATTTTTTTGTTTGAAATATTTTTATTGCAATACATATCGCAATATATGCTTTCGCATCGCAATATATCGCAATATGAAATTCACTGCAATACCCACCCCTATCTATTACAACTGAAATTGAAACACCTCCATTCATGATAGTACTTTGTGTCACTCAGTAATATTTTACTTTTACAAAACAGGTTTTGGCACACCAACATGAATGATTAGATGAGATTCAAATGGATCAAAACCATGTCACTGAAAACCGCTCGTAGATCTTTTAATGAGTACTTTCTTATGCTATGTTTTGAAAAAGAATCAAGTTAAACAAAAATGCTTAGATAACGAGCAAGTATCTTCGTCCAGTAGACGGTCACTAGTTTGGTCATGTGATACAGTACTCCAGAGTGAAACTTGTGATTCAGGTTAGAATTGGTCTTCAGCCTTCCATGCTTGTCAAAAGAGGTTACAAAAGAGGACTGGGTGGTCAGGTTTGTGGACTTGACTGACACATGTCATTGTGTCCCAGTTGCGTAGATTGATGCTCATGCTGTTGATCACTGGATTGTCTGGTTGCCATACAGCAGGAATAATGCTGAGTGCTGTGTTAAACGACAACCAAGCGTATGAACCTTGCACGTATCAGAATTGCAGGTTTGTTAAACCACAAACACTTGACTGGGTCGAGTTTATGTGAAGTCTGATAACAGAACATAAACAGTTGAGTTTGTGCAATGTGTGGTGTGTGTTCATGGAGCTTGAGTTCCTTGCCTTTGCTTAAGAAACAGAACTTGTGCCAGTATTTTATCGGGATATAAACATACTTCTACCCCTTGCTCTCTTGACAGTATCGATCCATGAAGATCTGGGGTAGAATAGGTCTTCAGCTTGTCGTAACGGGATCGGGTGGTTAGGCTTTCTGACTTAGTTGACACGTCATAGGTTCCCAATTGTGCAGATCAATGCTCATGCTGTTGATCACTGGATTGTCTGGTCCAGACTCGATTATTTACAGACTGCCGCCATATGGCTGGAATATTGCTGAGTCCGGCGCGTAATCTAAACTCACTCACTCACTCACTTGACAGTATCATTAGGTGAGACAAAGTACTAATGCTATTGCACAGAATACGATTTATGCTATTGTTATAATCACACATGTTGAAACTGAAAAGCAATATTGTATGCTATGCTGCCTTCTGATTAAATTATTATGCTCCAACTTCACTCACTCACTCACTCACTTACTCCAAGCAATTAGAGAACAAGCATGGTCTTAAGTAAAAGCTTTGTTAATGAAAGACCTATTTCTCTGCAGACTGGACCTGTATCGGAAGATTCCGAAGGACCTGACCCAGCCCACCTCAACAGGTGCTCTCATCTCTGTGTGTTCCGTCCTCTTCATCACCTTCCTGTTCTGCTCCGAGTTGCTGCTCTTCATCAACACAGAGGTGTAAGTACTTAGGTGTGAATGTGATATAACTCATTGAACTTGTTGGTTGTGCAGTCATAACTTTGTGAAATGACATCCAGAATGAATGGTTCATGTGCCATATTTCATTTCAAGGGGTGCTGGGGTAGCCTAGTGGATGAAGTGTTCACTCGTGGCGCCAAAGACCCGGGGTTCGATTCCCCACATGGGTACGATGTGTGAAGCCCATTTCTGGCATCCTCCACCATGATATTGCTGGAATATTGTTGAAAGAGGCGTAAGGCCACACTCGCACTCATTCAAAACTTTCAAGGAGTTTACAGCAGATCATCTTCATGGACAAGTGAAAATAAAAATCAATTTCTGAGTCTGGTTTTGCATGAAAATATGGTTACCACCCCTTACAAAATGGCCAACATCAATGCATATGGAGTCTAAATAATTGCAAATTAAGCCTATAAATATATTAAAATTGATATCAACATTTATAAATTTAGAAACACTTAGAATCAGATACAATACCAAGGCACCATAAGTTTCAGTAGCCACTGCTTGGTGTTTCAGTATCAGCGAGCTGAGTGTTGAGGACCCTGTCCAGCACTCTGAGAAGATCCCTGTCTTTATCAACATCTCCCTCTACAAGATGGAGTGCCAGTGTGAGTATATCGTCATGAACGGTGCTGGATGTACAGCATTCGTCACTGAGGGGTGATGGTGAGGCTAGTTACAGCAGTGTACAAAATTCAGTGTCCTTTGGTTTGTTGCTAATATTTTAGAATCTTAGAGCCCCAATTTGTGTTACTTTTATCACTAGTTTTAGAACAAGGACCCTCAACTTGCATGCCTAGCTCTCTTAAAAAACAACCCATGTTAGGATTCAGGGCTAGACATGTCCCTAGCAGGCCAAGGCTTTGTGACTGGGTCGTTAGAATAGAATAGAATAATACTTTAATGCCTTTTCAGGAATTTGTGTTACATCAGCAGAGCTACTGACACATTAGAGAGATACCAAACATATTTACATAAATTCTTTGATTTAGGTATCTTCACATTTGTTTAAGAGAGATATGGTACTTGGAATAAAGGATGTACGGGCTGTCTTAGTTTTCACAATTGGAACTTTGTAGCGGCGGCCTGAAGGGAGGAGGTTGTGTTCCGAATTTAAGTAGTGAGTACGGTCAGATATGATTTTGACGGCTTGATTCACGATTTGCCGCTCATATATTGATGATAAACATTCAAATCTGACTCCAGCGATTTTACTTGCAGTGTTAACAATTTTGTCTATTTTAGATTTGAGATGAACTGAGAGAGACCCATACCAACAATGGAAGGAAAATGTTAAAATACTCTGAATAAATGCGACATAAAAAAGATGACATCACAGATGGGTTAACATTAAAAGATCTCAGTTTACGCATGAGATGAAGATGTTGTTGACACTTTTTGTATAGGACTTCAGTGTTAGTGTCCTCATATCCCTGTGCGAGGGTTGTTGCTCACAATATCGCACACTTGATGGTCTGGTCTGGTCTGGTCTGGTCTGTTTCTTAAAATTGCTGTTGAGTCAGAATTAACAACCAACACATGCGGCTATTGTTGAGGCTGTCCCATTTGTGTCTTGGTTGTAATCTACGTTGTATGTTGAATAACCAAGATGTGCATTTAAGACTCAGTTTATATTGATATGGCGCCATTTTAGATAAAATAAGTTTTACAGATTCATAGATATGTTTGCACCCTACCATTTCCTCCTGCTTGCAATCACAGAGTGTCCCTTTAAATCCAGTTTCTGCTTCTACACTCTGAGGTGAAGACAGCATCCAGCTCCATTTAATCTTGAGTGCTTTTAAGAGTGTAGTATCCTGCTGGTTTGACAAGTTCCTTGTGGATATATTTGTAGATATTGGGTTGGACATTCAAGATGACATGGGGCCACGAGGTTAGGCTTCAAGGACAACACACAGAAGTTTCCCTTAGGTGCTGGTGGTGAGGGCTGCAGGTTCGAGTCCTTCTTCCTCATCAATAAGGTAATGTAGTCCATTCATCTATGTGTTCACCATGCTGCTGCTGGGTTACAATTGGTCTTCAGTAACCCATGCTTGTCGTGATAGGTTACTAATGGGATTGGATGACTTACTGACTTGGTTGACACATGTCAGGTTGACACATGTCATCGTGATCCCAGCTGCATAGATCTATTCTCATATTGATCACTGGATTGTCTGGTCCAGACTTGATTATTCAGACTTCCACCATATCCTTGAAAACGGTATAAGAAGCTATACCAAAACGTTGCTATTGCAAATATAAGGAAGTTTATCATCCATAAAGTTTTGTCATCTCAATACCACCAACTTCTAGAATGCCACTCAAACAAATGCCACCATATAGCTGAAATGTTGCAAAGTGTGGCATTAAACAACAAACAAACAATAGTTGATTGTGTGTCACTGTGACCCAGTAGTGTGGATTGTTGTGCTTTGACCATTTGTTTTCTTCACAACAAATATTAAGAAATGCTATTAATCCTATGACATAATTTCCTTGCTGTCCAGATCCCAGGCAACTTCCACGTCTCCACCCACTCCTCAGCAGCCCAGCCTCAGAACCCTGACATGAACCACAGGGTACACAAGCTACTGGTTCGGGGATGGAGATGGAGGAAGGAAGGTGGGTCACAACACTGTGTGTGTGGTATCCTCCCATTTGTTACACATGCCAATTGTTACATACCCCAATACACATAAGGTCACAGACCCCTGCACACACCTATTACCTATTAGTGAAGAATGGGATAGTCCATACTCGTTACAGACATAGAAAGAGAAGGCAACACAATTGATTAGCACTAAATATCATTTCATTGATATCATCTGCATTTGTTTGCAAATCCTTGTATATGAAGTTCATCATTCTTCTGTCATATTGTATACTTGTTGTAGAGGAGTCCAGCCATGGTTAATGTGCAAGGTTATTAGGTGAATAATGATAAACATATAAAATGTGCAAGGGTCATCCCCAGCCATTATAGTAAATGATGTATTTTCTCAATATAGTTGAATTAACTCGACTAAATAGTTAATCCTGCCTTGAGAAGATGAAATCATCTAGAGATAGATACAACTGAATGTACATATTAAATGCTAACTATAAAAATATCTTTAATCAAACAAACATTTCTTGAGTAAAAAAACATCAACACTGCTTGCTCTTAATCCCTCTGATCCATTTGCCAGTTTGGGCTAGTCCATTAATGTTGTAGGTATAGCAGTAATTAACCCCCAACCTGACTCTGTAACAACTGGCATGTGTAACAAATGGGAGACAACCTTGTGGGGGGGGACCACCCTCATTCTCTCATCTTCTTATCATCATCTCTAATCAGTATGAGGGGCGGTGGGGTAGCCTAGTGGTCAAAGCGTTCACTTGTCACGCCGAAGACCCGGGTTCGAATCCCCACATGGGTACAATGTGTGAAGCCCATTTCTGGTGTCCCCCACCGTGGATGTTGCTGGAATATTGCTAAAAGCTAGCGTGAAACCAAACTCAGTCAGTCTAATCAGTATGGATGCAGGTCATTGGCCCTAACAGCTTGAGTTACATTGCAGCCAGTTGCAGTCTTTCAAGTACACATTAATACTATTGTTTCTGAATTACATTACATAAAGTATAAACATAGCCAAATGTCTAGCATACTGTTAACAAAGGACTTAAGTATATTATGTTTCTGTATAGTGGAATGTACATCATGGTACATAGTAGGGTTTACCATGACCTGCAAAACTAGGGGTCTCAGTTACTAATTTCAAGGGCCATACTGGAAATATGAGGGTCCTGTGAAGTAATGGAAGTTGTGAAGCCTACTTCACTGTAAGATTTTATGATAACTTTGGATACAGGACCTTAATTCTTCTGGTAAAGAATTTGGTGAATATCATTGTGTTCTCCAGGATGAAATATGTATTTTGCTCTCTTGTACTTTATCCCCGTGAAGATCTGGGTAGAATAGGTCTTCAGCAACCTATGCTTGCCACAAAGGCAACTATGCTTGTCGAAGAGGCTTAATTAACAGGATCGGGGTAGTCAGGCTGGCTGACTTGGTTAACATCGCCATCGGTTCCCAGTTATGCAGATCGATGCTCATGCTGCTGTTGATCACTGGATTGTCTGGTCCAGACTCGATTATTTACATACCGCCGCAATATAGCTGGAATATTGCTGAGTGCGGCGTAAAACTAAACTCATTCACTCACTCACTCTTCTACTTTATATAAAGCTCCACATACAAAGAAGTTCATATCTCTGCTACAAAGTGTTTCAGACTGTTCCCCATAAAGATGGGGAACATAAAGATTTAGAATATAGACTAAATGCAAGTGATATTTAGGTGTGACATTTCCTTAGATCTTACCTGTTTCATCTCAATTTCAGACAGTAAAGGGCTCTTTCAACTCTTTAGAGGAAGTGGACAAGTCTAAAGCTAATCGTAAGTTCCTGATGTGTGGGGTAGCACCTTTATGTCGCCAGTTCAGTAAAGTTTTGCAAAGGTGGTAAGCGTTGAAATAACTGCACCACTTCTTACTTTACTTTTCCACAATCTTGACATGCTCTTATGACTGGAATTTTGTTGCAAGTGGTGTAAACCAATGCCACCCTCTCATTGCAGTCATTCGTAGATAGAAATCAGCTGATTCCTGAACATTGTTCATTTTAAATAATCTGCATTACCAATTTATGTAGTTATGGTGTGTCGTACGGAAGGCTAAAATTTAATTTTCAGATGGCCGGGAAGGCTGAAATGTATATTTCTCGACCCTGGGAGAGCTAATTTCCATTTAAAACAATCTGCATTACCAATTTATGTAGTTATGGTGTCGCCGTGCCGGAAGGTTAAAATTTAATTTTCAGATGGCCCGGAAGGCTAAAATGTATATTTCTGATTTCATGGGAGAGCTAAATTCCAAGGGAGTAGGGAGTACGCCAAAGCTAAAGGTGCGGTGCGGGGAAGCATAATCCATGTCGGGAGTAGATAGATTTCTTTTCAAAACATTGTTATAGTATTCGATTCATTTATTACTGTTATCTGTACACGGGTTGATAATATTTTTTTATAAATTGCACATTTCGGCGAGTTGGACAGCTCATTAAAGATAAACTGAATAGCCTGATCATTTTTCTTGTGTTTTAAAACTGTTAGATAATCTAGTGGTAATTCTTGCCTTAACTATATTTCACTTAATCCAATGTTTGACAAAAAATACTTTTAACCTGATAATGGGCCAAATTTTTGGACACCAATGGTCTCCACCTCCTCATGCAAATACTCATAACAACCCCGTAGAAAAACGCTTATTTTCAGACATAAGAAGCTTACACCAATATTTCATCATGCTTTATTTCAGAAATACAGTTGCTCTACCACCATGTATAGTGTAATAAAACACACTTTAACCCTGAACTATTATGACATCAAAGCATACTCGAACCTTTAAAGCGACGTGAACTATTATGGTTAAAGCTTGCAGATGGAGCCCTTGAGTCACAGTGGCGAAGCGTCATAATAGTTCAGATGAAAAAAGATGTGTTACTACTATACATGGTGGTAGAGCTTAACTGTATTTCTTTTCAAAGATGCCAAATTTAATACTTTCAAAGGATAATTACGATTAATTTAAGGCAGAAAAACAAGACGGTGTCGGTGGTGACCTAAATTAAGAATCCTCGACAGGGCCCTAACTGGTGCTATTCCATTGATGTCTCTCTCTCTCTCTCTCTCTCTCTCTCTCTCTCTCTCTCTCCCTCCCCTCTCTCTCTCCTCTCCCTCCCTCCCTCCACTCCCTCCCCAACACACACACTGCGTTAAGACAAGCGTTACCAGCCAGAAAACAAATGATAAACAGTTTGATGACGGATTACGTTAGGATTAAATATCTTCTCTAAATTATTTTCATTACATCTGTGATTAATGTAAAACCATGTATGAACGTCGCATTTCTACTACCAGCGTATGTTTAGATCTTCAGTACATCCAGACGAAGCTGAGTAGTCAGCCTGACATTCCACGACATTGCATTGTGGGAATGTAAACATTGCGAACGTTACTTTGGTCGCTAAACTTTGCGCGTCAAAAACATAAACGTTATTTCCACCAGTGATGATTAGGTGAGTGAAGCAACTGCAAACCAAGAAACGGGATGCAACGCCAGTAGTTTACTGTAGGAGGCTAGTCTGATGACAACTGACATGCATCGTGGCCATTAAACACATTGTGACGAGTGTAAAATGGTTCTATTAATGAGGGGGCACACTAGAATGGCGCAGTGGCGGGATAACGCCATTCAATTGTATGTGCATCAAAAAGCTATACCTTTATTGTCTGATAATGTATTTTTGTTTTATTGTTCTAACCGCTAGGCATCTTAGAATGCCTTTTGATTTCTGAGGGATAGCGACACCTAACTTCGGCATAAACCATGAAATTACAAGTTGATTTCTTTAACTCCAAACAACCTTTTACAAAAAATCCAAATGCAACCTTTTCAATATTTAAGCCTGTATTATATCCCCATATCTCAGATGCATAAGATAGCATACTACCAACATAACAATCAAAGACAAACAAAAGAGATTCCAGGTTGAGAGAGAGCAACCTGATATTATTGCAAATTAAAAAAGGGGCCTTCCTACCCTGGTCAGACAACTGAAGCTGTGCCTTTGAGAATCGGTTATCATAATTAAAAACTATTCCGAAATATGTAAACATATCAACAACCCCAGGACACAACCATTATATACTACCCATCAAAAGTTAAGACTCACTAGTGTAAATGTATCCGCTTACTATAGTCAACTGTTCTAAACTAGATTGTGCAAAATATTCCACACTGTTTAAAGGTACTGTTTACACATGAACTGATGCATTGTAAAACAAATTCGTAGCGTTGAAAAGATTATTATCATGAGTTCAATAAATGATGAAACTCGGTGAAAATTGGCAAATTCTTAACAAAACTTTACACCAAAACGCAGCTGTTCACTTGTACGATATTTGCAAATGCTTTTCAGCAATTTGATGCATGATCCTCGTGCAATTCATCTGCATAAGGTCTGCAGTTGGTTCCCCCAAGTAAGTGGAGAAATTCATCTTCGATGTAACCATATGTTTATACATAACATATAGTGAGTGCTTTAAGTGAGTCTAAACTTTTGATGGGTAGTATATATAACCAATGTTCTGACGATTTAAATTTACCAACTCTTCTGAAGACCATTATCTTTGTTTTAGCAATATTTACTTCAAGTTCCCACCGTCTGGAATAAGCTGACAACGAATTCAACTGTGTTTGCAACCTTTCAACAGATTCAGAAAATATTACATGATCATCAGCATACATAACCAGAAATATATTTAAAGATTTAAACTCGTAAGGTATACATTTATCTTTTAGGAAAGACTCCTCATTTATCTTTTAGGAAAGACTCCTAAAAGTGAACTATCTAATGTCAAATTAAGGAAAATGTGTAATGAAGAATAGACGGACAAAATGTGTAAATAACTTTATATATATTTCTATAGGTGCCCAAATTAAAGAGCATCCCCCTTAATCCTGTTTTCATTGTAATTTGCCAGAGCCTCCTCGGTGAGGTTGCCAAGGCCTGTGTTCTTTCAGCCATAACATTTATGCAGTAAGTACCGCTGGCTACGCCATTGAACCTCCTGCCATGGAACCAACCAAACTACAGATTATGTTAATGTAGTATTGACTGGTTCCCATCTATAATGAAATCTTAAATTGGATGACGATTAAAAATGAAATCATGATTGTGGAACAGTGACACTTTGTGTACCCAGCAGTAATCAAGAAGAAGGTTCTGATTGTCGGGGTCTTGGTGAATGAGTGTTCCATGTATCTGATACCTTGTTGTTTCTGTCCCAGCGCTATCAACCCACGACTACATCTGTCTGGTCTGGGTTAATTGGTGGTTCCATGTATCTGATACCACAATGTTGTTTCTGTTCCAGCCCTATCAACCCACCACTACATCTTGAGAGTGGTGCCTACTGTGTATGAAGATATACAAGGTAACTGCCAGATACCCCTTACCAATATACATACTCCTATAGGGTAGGTCACAGAACATTATCAGTATGCTCTCAAAATTAAAAATATCTGCACTCATCGCCACTTGCAATTGGTAGCGAGTATCACCTAACTTCCACTGGCCCTTCTAAAATTGTACTTTCCCTATAGATCATGCATCAAAATGAATAACCATTTAAATTATTTTATTTCCAAAATGTCTTTGTTTGGAATAAAAACTACAATAAACATTACTTACTTTTGTCTCTCTGTACAAAATCTTGATTAAAATTGAATTCATTCACCATTTAAGATAGCTGAACTTCAAGGAAAAGAAAAATGTTACATTTAGATCAGAAAACGCACTCGGGTCTCCTCTAGGACGAAAGCAAATTATATTTTCACTCTGCCTGTCCAAAACAAATTCTTTTTACTGGTCAATAGGGAGCTTAACGAGAGTGGAATTTTCAACCCCTGATTATTATTATACCCAGGACTTGGCCAAGCAGGGAAATGCTACAAGCTTCATATGTTAAGTAAATGTTACAGGGATATTGCATTGTGTCTCTAGGGCTGCAATGAATAAATCTCATGAGGTGAATAACAATATGTTTCTACAAAAATAGGGTAATGGATATGAATATATATTCATGAATACCTTTAATAATGTCAAGGAAAAGCAAAAAGCAATACACCTGTGACAATACCATTTGTAGCCTAATGACCGTGACTAGTCAGGGCGGTAATTCCGCGTGAAGGTCCTGGTTAGAATTGGCCTTCAGTAACCCATGTTTGACGGTGAAGAGGCATACTAACGGGATCGTGTGGTCAGGGTCAGGGCTGACTTGGTTGGGACACATGTTCCCAACTGTGCAGAGATCGATGTTCCTGCTGTTGATCACTGGATTGTTTTACAGACTGCTGCCAGATAGTTGGAATATTGCTGCTGAGTGTAGAAAACTAAACCTTCACCTACTCAGTAAGGGCCTTGGAAAAATGACACAAGGTCATGCTACTGTATGGTTAGTGAATATTCCACTTGCATATCACTCTTTGATAAATAAAAGACAAGTTCCAAGTGAAAAACACTCATTATAAAAAACCATTTGATTCAGGTGACCAGGAATAATGAATTGAATTCATGATGGGGTGCAGCCCGATTCAGTGCAATACAAGAATATGTGAATCGTAACTGGACTAACATTCTCACTGGCGATGATACAAGTTTATACTAACTGGCATCATATTGTACCCTGCAGGATATAGGCATAGTATCATCATGGTGTGCAGCGTTCCGCCATCTGGTTCGAGCACGACCTCCAGCCCCTATCACTGTCCTGCACCGAAGCTGAGAAGCCTTTCTATACATTCCTGACAACAGTGAGTGGAAAGTCTCTTGTTCTCTTTGTTATAGCATGAGTGGACCAGAGTGCCCTTGTACAAAGCAATCTTAGAGCTAAGCTGTAACTCCCGCACTTTAACATAAACTCTAGAATGTAGTCTTAGCGCTTATGGTGGTTTCTGTGGGTGATGATGATTTTAAGAATGGATCACCCATTTTGTTCTGGGAGGAAGAGGGGTCATCAATTTTGTACACAATAGTACTAGGTGGTGGGTCAACAATTTTGAACAAAGAAAGCAAGGGTGTGTTCTTAATTTGTCTTCATAAATTTTTGGGGGCTGTCTAGAGTGTACATGCTTCTATGTTTCTCCTTAATAATCATTACCACCCCTCAGCCGCCAATTTTGAACAGCCTCTTATTGTGAATGTGTTTGCTATGTAGCCTCATGGAATCTGCAGGGATGTGGAGGAAGGTTGGTTCCAAGCAGCCTAGTCTCCTATTGTTCAAGCAATGGAATGTATAGGGTGCTTTATTAGGGTGGGTATTGCAGAGAATTCTTATATTGCAATATATTATGCGATGCGAAAGCATGTATCATGCATATGTATTGCAATATATTACATGAAGTATTTTTAAACAAAAACTACATAACTTTACCAATCCTCGAGGTAATGCTGGATTTATAGAGCAAATACACAGCAAAATTACTATGCTTGATTAAGCTTTAATAACAACTTTTATTCATGATTAAAAATAAAAATGTGAATAATATTTGGCAACAAATGAAAAAAGGAAATATCCAAGATTTCGAAAAGTTACTAAATTTTCCGAATTCAAGTCAAAATACCTGGAAGTTTTGATCAGTAAAGATCGTAATAAATGTCATCGCTTTCATGTCTGAACTGTAACACCGTAAACCGGTTATATTAAGCAGCCCCTATGCTTTTATCCTGTGCCATTTAGGATGTACAGATCTCATTGATCTCATTATCACTAAAGATTATCTGATCTGGATTATTTAACAACTGCCACCATATAGATGGACTATTGCTCAGTGTGGCTGCAATATTTCAGCTCTAGGTTTTATGGAACAAAAACAACTTTGTATTTGGTTTCGTTTCAGTTGTATGTGCCATTGTTGGAGGAACGCTCACACAGTTGCTGGAATCATAGACTCATTAATCATATACCACTGCTTATGAAGTTTCTCCGGAAGGCCGAGCTTGGTAAACTGAGCTGATTCATTGGTTGTGAGAATCATCATCATCATCATCACCATGTCGCCACGTCTGCAACATTCCATAGTCTGTGTACAGCTGCGGGGAAGAGGATTAGCAGTGAACACCGTAGTGCAAAGGACAAGGCTAACCAGGATTTTAGTTGGGCTTCTAAAATAGCTTTATTTTGTATGGGTTCTTATTAGGGAAATACATCTTTATTATTGTTTCTGAGCATTGTAGCCATACCTTTGTTTGTTTTGAGTTGCCTCAATAGATATGTCACCAGAGTCAGAAATATGATCTAAGTCATCTATGGTCCTGGAAGTGACAGTATGATTGATCTTCAACCTTGATTGTAAGTATATTCAACAGTGTGTTTTAAAGTAAGTTATATTTGGAATTTCACACGCTTTTTGTTTTGGGATCAATATTTGTAACCTAATAACCAACTGTGTCTTTAACAACTTCTTTTACACATATATTCATATATATGAATATGAGAATTTTATTTAATGGACAAAATTGAGACTCCAAAGTCATTGTTCTTTGTCAAAGTAAACAGTTACTTATAAGTGTTCTGCATATTGGGATTAGATCATGTTCAAAATGGTGAGAGGACTAAAAGACTTTTTTAGATATTCTGGTTTTAAATAATTTTTCTAATAGTAACTTTGTATGTTTCCAGATCAAATGCATGGCTTTTGTTAGCTCCTTTATGTGAAAATCTTAATCTTTGTAAACATCTTAATCTTATGTAGTTCATATTTCCGCTTCAAGTTTATACCCAATTCTTTTCCAAAGAACATGTATGGTTTAGAGATAGCAGAGATGTTACTATGAAGTCTTAGGAGTGGGATGTTGAGAAATACCTCAGGATACTTTCAAATCAAAGCTATCTTTAATACAAATTAGGTCCAGTTGTTTAAGATATTAGAACATCTAAAGCCTTTTGTCCACTGTTATCCCTGAAATATTGTTTTAGCTGCATGGATTTCACAGTTACTCATTAGATAGGCAATATATTTATTTAGTCAATGTAAAATCAATGTAAAAGAAATCTTGTATTTTCGCATATTCATGTTTGTTAGAATGGCAAAAAGACTTAGAACAGCTTGGTAGCTATGTATCAAGTATTGGATATAGTAATGGTGGAGGTGGCTACCAGTGCTGGGGTGTATACCTGATAGTACCAAAGTTAGGTATGAGGCTGGTCTGATGGCTGTATAGTCACATGTGAAAAGCATCAAGCAGTATGATTCACTTTATCAGAGTTGCGAGTAGCACTATCCATTAGTGGTGGTCCGATTAATTGAAATAATCAAAGATGGTCGTGAATAACTATGCAATCGATCATGTTTTGTCATAATTGAACACAAGAATCTTTTGGAAACTTGTGTTTAATAATAGTATTTACACTAAGGTTGGTTTTGTATCTGTTACATTTTATAAGCACTTACAAGCTTGTTCCAAGTCAAGGATTGAATTTATCTTTGAGACTCCAGGAACTTCATTATGTCCCTAACATACTAGTCATCCTTTAAAGATGTAAAATTTTCAAATGCATTTTATGACCAGTAATTTGGTAAAAAATCGGAAAGAACTACGTTTTTCTTTATTTTTGTGCATTAACAAAGATAACCAGGAAAATTTGATAAATTCGCTTAACCAATTATTTTCATATGGATTGACGTTTGCTGATGAACCAATCATCACTTATGAGATGTTAACCCACAGTACTATCCATGAGATCTCGACTCTTACGAAGTCATTTTTCCCCATCAGAATGGGTGAAGACCCAACATGTTTAGCAGACATGCTTGATACAATAACCTGTGAAGCCCATTTCTGGTGTCCCCTGCTGTGGATTCGTTGCTTTGAATATTGCTAAAGCGGCGAGAAACCAACCTCTCAGTCCAGTCAGTGATAACAATAGCCACCAGTCTCACCTTCGGCAGGACTCTTGCAGTCCGGAATAAAAATGAAAAGTTTCACTTGATGACCTGCGGAGATCCTTATCATTCATGCACATTCCCCAAGTAGCCTGTTGGCATGCTGCCACCATTAAACAAAATGTCGCTATAAACAAATAGAGCAGATCAATTATAGCCTGGAGTGACCCTCCAAGATCTAGTTTAGAATTGATCTTCAGTGACCCAGTATGCTACGGTGAGGGTGTCTAGTGGTCTAGAAGCATCTAGTCTGGTCACACTGAAGAACCCAGGTCTGAGATATGGATAAACTGTGTTTTGCATACAAATACCTATTCTAATTGTAACCATTACACAATTATTTTGTTATCATTGATCCCAAATACATATAAAGAATTATAAAACCTAAAACATGTAGTTTTTCATGTGTAATTAAAGAGAACATTTCCTTTGCATAGGGGTGGTGGGTAAGTGAGTAGGGCTTCACCATGCCAAAGACCAGGGTTTGATTTCCTACATGTGTACAATGTGTGAAGCCCAATTTCTGGGTGTCCCATGCATTGATATTGCTGGAATATAGCTAAAAGCAGCGTAAAACTATAACTCACCTACACCAGTTGGACCTGACACGAACTGATATATGCCAAGTTAAATAAACAACTCTCAATTTGAAGGTTGTGTGTGTTTACATTTGTCTTGTATGATAAGAGAGTCCCACGCCAGTTGGAGTGGATCTTTAATGTTTGGTTAATACAGTGGAAGTTGTCAAACCGCATCTGTCCAATCCAGCAAGTTGTCAACATCGGTATAAAAATCGCAGTCCCGTCTACATAAAGTACATTTATCATCATCATTTAAAAGCTCTGCCATCCGGCAGCTGTGATTTCCGGATCTGGCAAGGAATGAGCCTGTCGCACTATGTGTTCATACAGTAACCAGCCGTCTAATCCGTATGCTGCAAGGAGCCAGTAATCCTGTGTTGAACTACATGGTTGGAAGCAATAAAGATAATTTAATCTAGTTCAGTATGGGTGTACTTGTACATGTAATTAATGAGTTGACAGAGAAATTGAGAGAACCACCCATACAACAATAAATGTATATGAGAGTGATAAAACTAGTTTTAGTTCTGTATTATTCACACACGGGTACTAAACCGGATTATTTTTTCAGTCCTGACGTGGTGCCGGTTTAGACAGCTTCCACTTTGTATATTTATCAGGTGGGTCTACAAAACCCAAAACTGTTCCCAAATATAGTACTGTGTGTTTGTTGTACATTGGCATACTACTCAAAAGAAATTCAGGACTTTCACCCTAATTCTTTCAAGGCACCTACTTGATGAATATTGTAATAAGGAATGAATGGGTTGTGCTTAATCTCTGCTGAGTGGTATTTATTCAGTAGGGATTAATGTGTACATTATGACACACAGTTTAAAAAAAATACATCCATCAAGTAGAGGCCGCATGATCAAGTATATTTTCTACTTTCTAAGACTATATGTTGTGCTCACCAAAACAACTAATTGTCTTCTGTGGCTGAATATGCATAATTGTAAAACAATCATCACGTTTATTGACATGAGAGGCCAGGAAATGCGCCATTCTAACCTCCTGACCCAGTTTGAATCCCCAGCTTCTTTACTCTCCTAAAATGATCACAAACTTATAAAACTAAACCTACCTAAATTTTACTACTGGACTGAGTTTTGTTTTACCGCTTTAGCAAAGACATTCATAAAGATCAATGTAAGCAAAATACCGAATGGGCTTCAAGCATTGTACCCATGTGGGGAATCAACCTGATCGCTTGGAAATGACGAAAGAACGCTTTAAATCACCAGCCCTGTAATTTCACTCAATTCTACTATGTGTCTACTAATAATGGAACATGAGATAAGCCAGAGACCATGATTTTTAATTTGATACTTTGTTGCCGCGATGTGTTGTTTCCAGTTAACCTGCCAGTAGCATTCCCTCTATCCCAAAGTCTGGCCAGATTTGGTAAACATTTAAATCCAGCAGGAACTGGTAAATGGAATTAAAGTCCACCAGAGTCCACATATTTAATTTCCATGAAGATGAGACGCAGGTAATTGAAGAAATATATTTCTTTTTTTTATTTTAGTAATAGTCGGAATTTGTTTAATATTATGTGTACTCTAAAAGTATCACAATTTGATCTTTCAAATGGAGGAAAATATTCAGTTCTTTCTTTTAACTTTAAATGAACATAGATCATATGAACATTTAACCTGTCTCCTGCCATGCTAACTGTTGGCTTCACATACACACAAGCTACCGGTCCAGAAGTCAGAATAA